GTGTGTGGTGTGTGTGTGTGTGTGTGTGTGTGTGTGATTGTGTGTGTGTGGTGTGTGTGTGTGTGTGTGTGTGTGTGTGGTTGTGTGTGATGTGTGTGTGTGTGTGGTGTGTGTGTGTGTGTGTGTGGTGTGTGTGTAGTGTGTGTGTGTGGTGTGTGTGTGTGTGTGTGTGTGTGTGTGTGTGTGTGTGTGTGTGTGTCGTGTGTGTTGTGTGTAGTTGTGTGGTGTGTGTGTGTGTGTGTGTGTGTGTGTGTGTGTGTGTGAGATCAGGGGGGGCTTGACTGTGACCCTGGAGAGTAACTGACTGCTTTCAGACCCGATTCGTTTGAAAGTCCTCCCTGTCATGTGTGTGTGTACACCTCTGGGTGGTCCTGTGATTTAACCACAGCAGGGGGTGGGGCTTATGCTTTGTTGTGTGTCTCTGTTAGGCAGTGTTGCTGATTTCAATGTCTTTGACATATGGGAGGACTTCCAGTCCAGTATTAACCCTTCTTATTATTGTTCTTTAAAGGGCCCATGTCATGCTTTTCTGGTTATTACCCGTCCCCTTGTGTGTTATGAAGCTTTTTATGCATGTAAACGGTCTGCAGAGTCAAAAACCCTCAAAGTACACCCTGTAGCGAGTAAAACTCTAACACAGAAAAGACCTGTCTATGCTGCCCCAGAACGCCTCGTTGGAGATTTCTCTTTTTCTATTGTTTTCTTCCTGGGTTCTGTGACGTGTGAACACCCAAATCAACAACAAATGACCGGATTGGCCCAAATGGACCAATCCGCGGAGCACCTCACACACCAGGATCCCTTGGCTAACTAACAGGGAGTCCCCATTGACTTGCATAGAGCTCCCTGAACGCTGGTAATAGACGAGTTGGGATGGCGGAGAAATGCTCTCCGCAGACCCATTCTCACAGCGTTATAAACCTTTTTCTTACTCAATATCAAGCCACACTTATTGTTTTTACTTCGGCTGTGAGTGTTTGTGTGTGCTCAGGATGAGTTTCGCTTGTTCTCGCTGTATCGCCGACCCGGAAACCTGTCCGCTCCTCGCAGCAACGAGCATCGCAAAGTCCCGACCAATCGGAGCACAATGGGCTCATAGGGAGGGGGGGGGCAGGAGCTCCAACAAGCCGTTTAGGACAGAGAGTGAATACACATACTTTACAGAGATGCTGTATGAGAAACCAATGTGATTTTGGAAAATTGCACAATATAAATCTATTCTAGTAGACCTCAACAATGGAAATATGATCAGTAGAAATGGCCATGACATGGGACCTTTAGACAATGATTGAAAGGAAGGCTATATAAAGAATGACGTCATCAATGCATGTGGATATATATTAGGCTATATATAAAAAAACAAAAACATACGGTCAATAGACTTGTGCAGAATCAGAATACCTTTATTAGTCTCACAGAGGGGAAATGTAGGTTGTTACAGCAGAAAAAGAGCCAAAGACATATTTTACATGCATACAAAAGTATTAAAGTTAAAACAAAAGTTATAATATAATAAAAAAATGTTATAAAATAAAAAGTTATGGGTTAGGCTCTTGTGGCATCGTTAAAAGGGTCTTCTGATAGTCTATGCAGGATGTTTATTATTATCTTCAAATTGTGCTTATTTTCACTGACCCTAACCCTAACCCTGATTTTTATAGTCTTCCCGCTAGATACCGGCTAACTGAAACATTTGTTTGTGTGTCGAATACCTTTCATTGTATTAAGCTCTTAGCCATGTTGCCCTTGTAAACGTCATGATTACATACACTATCTGGCAGAAGGCCTGCCCATCAGTGCTCTCTGTCTGTGTTGGCTCAATCACGTTTCACAGCCCTCCAACTCTCCTGTTAACGGTTCAGGTTTTCCCATATGGGGATGATGGAGTTCTTTAGCCTTGTTAAATGCTGTTAGCTGCTGAGCTGCTGCCTGGTGATGTGACACTGCTATTCTGTTAGGCCCGAATCCCAGCCAACGTTCATTTGGTAGAGGAGGAACAGTGTGTTTTGTTCAGCTGCTTAAAAATGCTTATTTTTTCTAGTCTTCCTGGTGTCACAGCTGGTTATTTTTTTTTTTTTCATTGTGTCATTCTGACTTAGCACATTTTGCAATCATTCACAGTGTCAGTGGACATGTGCTGGTGTTGTTTTTCACAGGAAGTGAGGTCACCATGAACGGTGTCGCCCACATGGCCGAATACGCTCCCAAGGGCGCGTTGCATGGCAACCATAACATGTCATTGTCAAGAGGATTTGTGTAATGTAATATCCAGAGGGGGCAGGGACACCAGGAAGAAGGGACAGCTCTTTGACACCATCTGTTGACTTCTGTGTGAAAGTTAACCAGCATGCTACGAACAGACACAACATCCAATGTATGGAATCAATTATACAAATATAGGCGCTTCTTTGCGTTTCTTTTCAAATGGTTGACTTGTTGAACATATGACAATGCTGTCTTAATATGAAAGCCTGCTGTTCCTAGCATGTTGTTCTTCAGGCTTACCTCCTGTCGAGTGCATCCATGTTTGGTAACAGTAGAAGATATAGGGTGGTGTGGGAATGAGTCGTTAAACCGGAAATTAGTTAGCATTTTAGCACTTCTGCGTTCCCTCATCTCAAAAGTCAATTTTTTTTAAATTAGTTTTAGGTTAGATGCCTGAAATAAGGTCTGTCGTTAATTCAAGCTTTCAAGATTTTAATGTTTTGTTCTACGACATAAAAAATGTGAACGTCTGTAGATTCAACATGTCTTGGATACAGCGAGTCCTTAGCGGTGCTAACGTGAAGTCATTCAAGCAAGCTGTAGTTTTCATAGCATTACGTTAGCTATTTACTTCTGGTGATTGCATTTCTATTGTAAAAGTGGTCATAATATGTTGATATTACACTGACGAACATAATGTGTACATACCGTTCTACCACACAGCTTATTTTCTGCGATATTACAAAATCCAATGGACAAATTCCAACGATTTTATTCTGGGTAGCCCTTACAATGCTAGCTTGTGGATCAGCCTACACAAACATGTCATCCCTGTACCACTCTGGTTAGCAAAGGAATGTTAGTTCCCACTCGATATGCGTCTCTGATGTGATCTCATGTGAGCAAGCCCTACAGGGACACCCTTCTCACTAGAGACGTACCTGCTCATAACAGTCTGTCTAAACAGGCCCTTTGATCCGGTGTGTGTGGATCACAGAGCATGTTTGCCTTTGTGGGTTTGTTGTGTGTATGCAAACACATTAGAGAGTGAGAATGCTGTTGCTTTTCAAAATGATAGCAGTGTCTTTTCTTTATTTATTTCCCCCCCCCCCATTAATATCACACCATGCCAGAGATTCACCGCCTGTGGCTTCCAAAAGATAATACATGTAGAGGGATGGGAAGTGTGTGCATATGTATAGAGAGAATTCATGGTAAAGGTCACAGAAATAATATGTGACTGTGTTTGAAAGAGAGAGTTAGAGGATGAAGGTCTGGTGAAGAGTACAAGCTTGCCTCTATTCATTGTGCAATCTGCTGCTTTCTGGGCTCCTGATAGCATCTCTGCCGTCTGTCGTGGTTCTAAAATGGTACATTAGGCCACGGTGAGAATTTCAGCACTTGCTGAAAAGGAAAATGTCCGCCAAATATGATCAAAATTGGGCGGGGGCTTTAGCAAAGCAGAGAATTCCTTTCTCCTCCGCATGTTAATATGTGTAAGCATTTCCTACCACACTTCAGCCGGTCCCCTAGCTGCTGCTGCTGTGTGTGTTATGGTGGGGTCAAACATTGCATGCCGACAGCTGTGCAGAGAGAAATTCTTAGAGGACATTGGCTGCTGCTGAAAACACGCATGTTTATGGACTGCAGTGCAGCAGATGCAAATCTACAAACTCATGTATCTTATATACTGGTGCAAACCTGCAGGGGGCTTTGCAAGTGGAGTCTATAATGTTTTATTTTTATAAAACTTGTAACTTACATTAGGGCTGCTCGATTATGGCAAAAATCATAATCTCGATTATTTGGGTCAATAATTGATATCACGATTATTAAAAACGATTATCCATTTACTTTGAAAACATCCATTTATTGAAAAAAAAAAATGTGAACAGTATGTTTTGAACATACCCTGAACTTTAAGTATAATTCAACTGAAAAACCAATAACACATTTTTATTTTTTAATTCAAAGAAAAACAAAAAATCGTTTTATTTCGATTATGTTGTTTTCATAATCGTTTGCAAGCCAAAATTGTAATTGCGATTAAAATACGATTAATTGAGCAGCCCTAACTTACATACTGCAAATGAGTGTAGTTTTGGTCTCAGTGTAAGGCCTCTTTTTAACGTCTGTATGCCTCACTCTTGGTATCCCTCACCAGCAGTTCAAAATATTTTTGCCTTATTTATTTGAAAACCTTTGAAAGGAATGTGGACACCATTTGTGATATAAACGTATAAACACTGGGGTCAAATATATCTGGAATTATAGATGTGAATTCATCTCATTCAAGGGTCCAATGACTAAAAGACTGTCCATGTTTTAGGTGTTTTCCTTGGTTCATGTATGAATTATTTTTGTATTAATGGATTTGTATGAACTTCAGGAGGATGGAGAAACTGTCTGTATTCACTTTCTGTATTTGGGTTAGTGTGAATGGTCAACATCTTTGTTCTTCATGTTCTTTAATCTGCAAGAAATATGTCTGTTAAGAACATTTTATAGACAGGCTCTCATCCTAATGTCATTTTCTAAATATATAAATGGCTATAGTTATCTGTTGTCACACAATTATAGATTCTATTAAACATGTCACAGAGACAGGCGTAGATTTAATAACTTTCAGACGATCAGCAGTAACATCACGGCTGCGTCATTAAGGCATTTGTCAACACAAATGACTCCTATCAACAACAATGCCGTTCACTTGGTAGTGTGTGAGAACTCTGAGCATGTTTTCATTTCTCCTTCATCATCTCAGTCTATTCATGTTGTGCTTTTCCCTCCCACAGGAAAATTGTCATCAAGATTGGGAAGAAGAAAAAACGAAAGCAGGCGTCTTCAGCGGAGTCAGACGATGACCCTCCCCCTCGACACTCTTCTAAGGATGTAGACTCTGTAAGATCACACACACACACACACACACACACACACACACACACACACACACACACACACACACACACACACACACACACACACACACACGCGCACACACACTGACATATAAACCTACAATACAAGCCACTATTAGTGTGAATGGGGCTGTGATGCTTGGGAATACTCGGAGTGTATTTCATCTCCATTTGTCAAATTACAATATTCATCCTAACTGTGAGACTTTCATCTAGCTCCCCGCCTTATTTAGACGAGTTGTTGATACATGTGGTGCACTGTCCTCTGTCTGACTGTTCACACTGTTTGGAGCTTAGAGGAAGGCTTCAAGGCTTCAGCTTGACGATCGACTCAGTGGTTCATGTGAGGGTCAGGCAGTGGGTGGCTATCTCAAGTACACATCCTTATTTATCTCGATGATGGAGATATCCCTAACAAGACATAATCTAGGTCAAACCACCACCAGAATGAACATGTTGCAGAAACATTTCCCACCAGTTTAGAACTTTGACAAAACCAGTTTTACAATTTGTCTACATTTTGCAGAAAATATGGTTTTCTTTGATCATTAACACCGGATGGTTTTGTTTCTCCTCCACCATTGTGTTGCCTGTAAACTGTCCATGATAAGTGAAATCTGACTCCTGCGCCTCAGTGTTGTGCAGACACCTATTCAAAGCACAGAGTCACACCGTTAACACTGACTGCCACGGCAGGACTAACTCACCTACATTTAACAGTTTTACATTCAAGAGGAAATTGTGTTGCAACAGCAGCCAGTGAAATTGAAATCCTCGAGGAATTGAACGTTTGTTTGATAACGTAACGCAGCGAAATGTAATAATGACTTAGTTTTTATTTCAAATCCAGAGTAATGATTCTATGTTAACTAAAAGTACAGCTCTGGAACATTAATAAATTGAAATTATCTAAGCCTGTGCAGTCAACATGTCGCAGTGTCCTGGGCAAAATACTGAATCGATTTCCTCCTGTAGCTGTAGAGATGATTTCCAGTTTCTTTGGATAAAAGCGTCCGTTAAAGGGGCCTGTTATGATACATTTCAGGCGTTTCAGGCAGGGGGAGGGGGGGTGAGAGAAACTCTGTGGGATTTTAGCCTTTGCAGACCATTGACATGCACCAAAACCTATATAACACACTATAGGAAAAGAAAACAAACCAAATAGCATAGTAGGGCACCTTTAAGTGAAGTATAATAACTACCATGGCCATTTTCTATTTGATGTGATTTATAATTGAAGTGCCACTTGTGAGTTTATTTTATTCTAACGCAATCCTCATTTGCCCACTGCCTCATTACCAATGATGATCCTCTATTTTAAGAGTGACATGTGGATGACGAGTGTCTCCCTTCTTCGCCTCATCACCTCTCTCCCTCCTCTTTGCCTCCCATCCGGACTTCTGCCTATGATATAATGATGCTGGTTAAGTGGTGCCCCTGGCTTTAATTAAAACTCTCAGTTGATGACTCATTTAGGATGATCCTGTGGAAGGAGTCAAAGCAGCATGACTGACAGATAGAAAAAAAGCATGGCCACCTCACGGGTGTTTTGTGGTGGTACGTGGCAGGTCTCACTTCCTGGTTTCTGGTCAGCTTGGGTTTGGGGATGTGAGGGTTTATTCTCCATGGGGATATCATACTTCACACCTAATTAACTTTGGCTCAGTGGCATTTATTCCTAATGAACTACATATTATCATTAGGAGCGGTTGGTGTATCGATGTAGAATACAGCAGCCCACGCTTATGATAATTACAAAGGCCTGACAGGAAGGAATAGCAAGAAGCTGGATTTGAAAGCTCTTTTTTGTTGAGATCTGTGTGGGAGGTTACTCGGCATAATGCTTTTCTGAATGTATTCCTTGGTTGAGATGCATTTAACAAGGTCATTTATGGGTTACTTTTTTTCATGAACTTCAGGAGGACGGAGAACCCATGTTACCCATTTCAATAAGAGTTAGTGTAATTCAATCAGTGATAATGGAGTACATATTGTAGACGGGATACTATCCTCATGTCATTTTATAAATACATAAATAGCTAGGAGTTGGCTCGACTTTGTATATGCTATCAAATATGACACATACAGTCAGAGATTGAATAACTTACAGTACATTAGTAGATGTTGGATCAATAGTAACCACAAGGTCTGGACATTGTTGCTCTTGCTTTGATTTACATGAGAGGAAAATGTGAAACGGCAAAATCGTTTTGTTTAGCTGAGCAAGAAGTAGTTTCATACTCACAACTGTGATTATTAAAAAGGGAAGATTTATGACAGTGGTTGTTATAGTGGTAACACTGAAGTGTAAAATAGGGAAATGTATGCTTTTTCTCATATACACCAAGACAGTCCTCGTTAAAACGCATGCTAATGGTGGAATGTATTGTTTATGACAAATGTGATTGCAAATGCATAAGTAAAACCTTTTTAAATTGACACATAATTGCCTATATTACATTACATGTTACTTGTTAGACGCTTTTATCCAAAGCGACTTACATACTCAATACTGTGGACAATCCCCACAGGAGCATTTTGTGGTGAATTGTCTTGCCCAGGGACACAACGACATGCTGATTGCAGTGGGGTTTGAACACCAACGCACAACCCACTGCACCACACGCCTCCCTCCCCTATATGTTTGCGTTAGGGTCAATTAGCACGAGTGTATGGTACAATTTGATCATAAGCAATGTTCACATCTGCTGAGACTACAGCTGAACAATTAATACAAGTTTAATTTCATTTGCAGTATGGACTAGTGCAATAATTAAATTGAGCAATATTTAGTTAAAGGCTGAATATGTTAAAATACATCAGTCTGAATAATTTGCAATAAATGATTTGTTCCTAATCCAACTTGCCTGGTTGATCCATTTAACACATTGTCAGGTTTAAAAAGCGTTTTCTGTATTTTTCCGTGTTGAAATTGCTGTATGAATTCATCCAGATACGTAGAATATCTTTTGTAAATGTCATTTTTCCACCTTGTTGTGCTTTTCCAGAAGAGGAGATCAAATCGGCAGGTGAAGAGAAAGAAGTACTCTGAAGAGCTGGAGGCCCGGCTCTCAGATGACGAGGTCAAGGCTATTGTCAAAGCCAAGAAAACGAGCTCTGGAGGCTCCAAGCAGCCGGCTGTTCAGCTCTTTGTGGTGAGCAGCTCTGCCTATAACTACCTAGAAGCTAAGAAGAGGAGAATGAATTACTTGTATCTCTAGAAACCATGAAAAAAACACTGCACCGTAGTGTAGGCCGAACTTACCCTCTTACAATTATATAAAATAAGTGTTTTTTGGCTTGCAAGCAATCCATAAAGAGACGTTTTCTGTGACACATGCATATTTAAAAATAACTTATTACTATCGGCCCTTTTTAATAGTGTTTTATTTGTCAGACAGTTTATAGATATTTTCTCTTCACGGTCAACTGTATATTTTCTAATGCTGTTTTATTTCTATTTTGAGATTTTTAGAATTGTATTTCTACTCTTTTTATTTCTGTGCAATGCTTTTTTTTTTATGCTGCTACGACGCAAACCTTTCCCGAATTGGGATCAATAGAGTACATCTAATCTTATCTTATCTTATTTATATACCGAAAAGCAAGAACACATATCTTGAAAGTACAACACGACATAACAGTGCAGCACAGCCTGTCCTTTTTACACATAGTGACGTACAAACCAGGACCCCTGCAGTCAGCCGGTATATTCAGTGCCCATTTTGAGTTACTAAGATTTAACAGCAGATAAATCAGGATGGGATTTGTGTGACTACAGCTCTCAGTAAAAAGATTTGTCTACAAATATGTGGTCTTAAAGTTGCACCCTGGCTTCCTTAATTTAAATCATTCATACTTTGTTAGATGCTCTGCACAGGTAGAGGCAGTTCTTAAAGATGGGGTAGTTAATTCACTTCAGAAACACTTTTTGTTAGCAATGAATACATTAAATGCTTTGACATTAAATACATAAAAATATGTCATCAGTGGAAGCCGTGGCGCTATAAAAAGCACGACCAATCATCTGAGCCGGCCCGGCTAAAATAACTGGATGGCCTACCTGCCTGTCAGCCTTCCATCTGTGCACAAACTTATCTCGTGCCCTCATTGGTCATGTGGGCGTTCGTGTGTGTTGGAGGAGGGGCTCTGTAAGGAAGTCTGAAGGACTGCGTGCTTTCAAATTCTAGCGCACTCAAACTCCATTCTTACCTACCCTACCTTTTAAGTAGTAAGCTGATTCCGCTTAAGTCAGTTTTATTATGATGTGTCCTGAGGATTATGCAAATGTATGCGGTGGAAGAATATGAAGTCATACTTGCAATTTTCTGTTTGCTGCATTTTTAGGAGAACCCCAGTGAAGAGGACGCTGCAGTTGTTGACAAAATCATGTCTTCTCGTATCGTGAAGAAGGAGGTAATGATATGCTGCTGTTTCTTTTCCTGCTTTTACTAATTGTTACTGTACACCTCTGCACAATCAGGATGAATAGTTGTGCTATTTCACAAGATGTTTACCTAAAATATTACTTATTACCTTATTTTACGTAGCATTTTTAACATGTGTACTACTTTGGTCCTTAATAACATACCTTTATATTTCAAAATAGCATAATAAAACAGTTATTAGCCAAGTAAAATATACATTTAATTTGTACGTTTGTTTGTAATCCTACGTTGTTCTTTCATCTTTCAGGTTTCTCCAGGAGTGGTGGTTGAAGACGAGGAGTATTTTGTAAAATACAAAAACTAGTAAGTTCATTCACAGTAAGCTTTACTTAACAGTTTATTAATTACACCAGGATCCATAGCAGACAGATTCAAAATAATATTGTGTAATTATTTCTGTATATGTAATTAACCCACTTTAAGCAAGTGTGTGTGTGATCTGTTTTATATATAGCATTCCTGTTGCACTTATACAGAAACTCTTAAACTACATTTAGATAATACATGAAGCTGATATCTGAGGGCTTTGCAAATGATGCTGAACTAGAACTTTGTGATTGCATATGAATACAAGCATGTATGGCATCCTTGGGATAGCTTTCGGTATCGCCATGTACATTTTTGAACATCAATGAAATGTCCTAGCCATAAACGTATTCAAGATTATATTGAACCGTAGGTTAACTTCGACAGCCCTTACAGAGAAATCATTTTTTTTCTATTTGAAAGATAATCTCTCATCAACCAGATTGCATTCATTATGTTTTCAGCCTAATCCCGAAAAGGATTGCAAAATGTCACACTATAAATTTGATGAAACCAAATGTTTGATAGAAGAGCAAACACCTGCTGGCTGTTGCCCCAGATGCTGTGTGTGTGTGTGTGTGTGTGTGTGTGTGTGTGTGTGTGTGTGATGGTGTGTGTTGTGTGTGTGTGTGTGTTGTGTGTTTGTGTGTGTGTGTGTGTGTGTGTGTGTGTGTGTGTGTGTGTGTGGTGTGTGTGGTGTGTGTGTTGTGTGTGTGTGTGTGTGTGTGTGTGTGTTGTGTGTGTGTGTGTTGGTGTGTGTGTGTGTGTGTGTGTGTGTGTGTGTGTGTGTGTGTGTGTGTGTGTGTGTGTGTGTGTGTGGTGTGTGTGTGTGTGGTGTGTGGTGTGTGTGTGTGTGTTGTATGTGTGCTGTGTGGTGTGTGTGTGTTGTGGTGTGTGTGTATGGGTGTGTGTGGTGTGTGGTGTGTGTTGTGTAGGTGTGTGTGTGTGTGTGTGTGTGTGTGTGTGTGTGTGTGTGTGTGTGTGTGTGTTGTGTGTAACCCAAAATGCTCCTGTGGGATGTCCCACAGTATTGAAGTATGTAAGTCGCTTTGGATAATAAAAGGTTAAACAAGGAATGTAATGTTTGTGTGCAGCTCCTACTACCAATTGTGAGGGGCCACAGAGCAGCAGCTGAGAGAAGGACAAGAGGATTCCGGCAGAGATCAAACGTCTTCAAGCTGAAGAAAGCACAGAGGGCACTCTTCTTCGCAGACGTAAGGATGTGGTCTGTGTACACACTCTACATTTCCGTATGAGAGTATTCACAATGTCTATGAGCATGTGTGTTTCCACAATTGGTGTCAAAGGAAAATGTGTGCGTTTAGTGTATATGAATGTTCTGTGTGTGCGGATGTTTGATTCACTTTGAGTCTGTGTGGGCGGGCACATCTGTGTGCATATATCAGAATCAATTTGCCTGCTCGGTTGATACAGTAGTGATACTTATCTCAGCTACCAGATGGTGAGTGGGCATTTAGATTGATTCTCTCTTGTTCTTTCTCTCTGCGTCTTCAGAGGGAAGAGGACCCCTTTAACCCGGACTATATAGAGGTAGACAGAGTGCTGGATGTGTCGTATTGTGAGGACAAAGACACAGGAGAGGTACAGTGAATCCTCTTTCTTAACGGTTCATTACATCCATGAGTAGCACTTTAGTGTTTATTTGTATCTACGTGCCTTTTACCCTTTTTCAGCTTTTTTGTTCCTTTCAGTAAACGTTCCACTCTGGCGATGTCTTTGTACAGTCTCAGTCAGGCCCAAGGCCATGCTATTGGGCTCCCTAGCAGCCTTTGTTAATATCATCAAAGCAGAGCGTGGCCTCGCTCTAGTCTTTTGCAGCGCTAACTCCTCTCTGCCTGCTGCAGGAGGTGGTGTACTACCTGGTGAAGTGGAGCTCTCTGGCTTATGAAGACAGCACCTGGGAGCTGAAGGACGACGTGGAACAGAGCAAGATAGAAGAGTTTGAGCAGCTGCAGGCAGTGAAGCCAGACTCTCGCAGGACGGTAAGTCATGACCATCCACATCAGAATCAGAATCCCTTTATTAGTCCCACAGAGGGGACATTTACGTAGTTACAGCAGGAAAGAGCCACAGACAGCTTAATGTTACATAAATATGTGACATGCATTAAAAAAAAAGTACTAAGTTAGGAAGGCGTGTGGTGCAGTGGGATGTGTGTTGGTTTTCGGATCAGGTGGTCACATGTTCAAACCCCACTGCAATCAGCATGTCGTTGTGTCCCTGGGCAAGACACTTCACCTCAAATTGCTCCTGTGGGGATTGTCCACAGTATTGAGTATGTAAGTCGCTTTGGATAAAAGCATCTAACAAGTGACATGTAATGTAATGTAATGTAATGATATAATTAAAAATTAAAAGTTACATAATTAAAAAAAATACACATCCTGTAACAGTTCTACGGATTTAGCAGCCAGGTATATATTACACAGTTATTAACGGCATCTATATATATTGCACATCTAGCACATATTGCACATAGGTGGTTGGTATTTAACAGCAGCAAGCTACACAATTTACAAAATACAAAATACACACCTTGTAACAGTTCTACGGATTTAGCAGCCAGGTATATATTAAACAGTTATTAACGGCATCTATATATTGCACATAGTTTGTTGGTATTTAGCAGCAAGGGGTGATATAGTCTGTGTTGTGGTGTGTGTGTGTGGGGGGGTCAACTAGGGGCTGTGCTGGTTGTATAGTCTGACCGCTGCAGGAAGGAAAGACATCGCTCACTTATCATTGTTTCCATGACCCTCTATCACTCTATCTATACTGTTTAAAGTATCTTATAGTTGTACATTTGTTTAATTGTGTAGCTGGGTTAGAAGTGCTAAGTCGTTAGCATCCCCCTTTTTTTTTATTTAAGCAAGGCAAGTTTATTTATGTAGCACCTTTGAACAGAACGCAATTCAAAGTGCTTAAGACATTTAAATGATTAAAAAACATTTGTTTAAGATACAGATTTCTTATAGTGGAATCTTTTGAGAATGTGTTCAAGAGCCACCAAACATACTGAAGTGTTCAATTAAAAGGCATCATTAGCAACAAATGTGAGGGAGGAGAAAGTCACTTTAAGACGAGTGAACGATGTTTCTGTTTTATCAGAAGTTAATTATCGCTGAGAAAAAAATAATCATGTTTTCAATTGTAACCTTTAGATTTTACCGCTGTATGTATGTATTGTAAGGTCACCAGACTTCACACATATTTGTCATGTAAAATGTTCTATCTTCAATATTTATTTTACATTTCTCTTTACAACGTATTAATGTTGCTACTGGATGCTACTTCACTACTGTTCGCTTACTTTTTTATATGGATCAAAAAATGCACGTGTACTTATTGGATTTGATTTGATTTACGTGGGCTTGCCTCTTTATATAATAGGCGAGTCTACTCATCTTTAATTAGCAGTTTTTCCCCGCTGTGGGATGGTTAAAGGATTTCTGATAAGCACAATTTGAACATCTCTTGCCATTGTTACCAGTAGCATCGGTTTTAACTGCACCGCTTCCCAAAATAATACAAATGCTTAAATACTTACAGCCATGCATTTACACTATGAGTGGTTCCAGGTGGATACATTTTCAGAACAAAAACCACCCCCCCCCAAACACTGATTTCTGTGTTTCCCTACTTGCTTCACCTCTGAAAGCACCACTCTGGCTTAATGTACTTGAACCGTAGAGTTAATTTCAAAACTATTTTTAACTCTCCATGTAAAATGTGTCACGTAGGAGCGTCCCCCGGCCAATCTGTGGAAGAAGAGGGATCAGTCGAGGGAATACAGGAATGGCAACGGCCTCAGGGACTACCAGCTAGAGGGGGTCAACTGGCTCCTCTTCAACTGGTACAACAGGTCAGTTTGAAATGTTCTATATACACACAACTACAACCTGTTCACACGGAGGTATTCACATCTAAATGTCACATGTGACTTGTATGTCTTTCAAGCAAATGCCTTGGCCCCGGGGCATGGGTAACATTGCATAAGTAAGCTAGCTCCAGTAGCTTCAGCACACTTCTCCAAAAAAGGACAAATATTACATCTAATATGAATATCTCACACTTCAAACTGAATGGCATCTCTGAACAAGCTGTATTTGCATTTCAGTAATCCCATTCTAATGGAAAACTACAGTGAATGTATTGATAAAAGTGAATGATTGATGAATAATGAATCACTTTTCCTGTTGGACCACGCGGTGATTTGACTGTATTCACATTTGGTTAGCCTGCGAGGAGAGTGAGATTTCCTGTCAAGGTGCTGCAGCAAATACTTTCCCTTCGCCCACAAAGGCAGAACGAAGCGCTGCACAGTACATCTGGAGAGTGTAGTGTCAGTGTGCTTGCATTAACCCAGGGAGATGACTCTATGTGTGAGCATGCTGGAGTTTCTGTGTGCCTACGCAGAGAGATTCATCAAACTTACAGAGCTGCTTAAGAGGCCAGTGGGAATATCTGCACGTTGCAATTAGCATCAAGACATAATACCCCCACCCACTGGACAGCTGAATAAATGGTTTTCTGGAGTACACCACGCAGCAGAGGCAGGCGCATTATGTGGAATCTCATCTCTTTGGTCTGTTATTACTGCTGATGATGTCTTTTTCTCCCCCATTGTACCGTGTTTATTCTTTAAGTATCATGGGATTTGTCCTCCTCTCGTAGTTTTTCCCCTTCTTTAGCCCAGCACACATGTATCTTCTTTACTTTGAACGTGCAACAGAGATGCTGTCAGTGAACACACGCTACGTTGTTTATGAAACATTACACCTCACACAGCAATGTGGTGAGAGTTTAAACACCCTTTCCCCGACACATGTTGAACACGCAAGGGATATAACAGCATTTTCTCACAGGTGACGTTGATGTGTTAATGGTTTACACTCTCGCTTTTCTCTTATGTTTGTATTCTACTCCACTTCAATCAGGCGAGACAAGTTTTCTTTTGATGTAACTATATATATATATTTATTGCCGGGAATACACAGATGCATGTAATGGTGTTTGGCGATTAGACCCCGTTGTGCTGGAATATTATTCGGGAGGGGAAAAACTGAACCCTGGGGTCTAGACACGGGTGGTGGTGGAGGCATGAATCAAATCAAATCAAATCAAGTTTTATTTATAAAGCACATTTAAAAGCGATTTTTGGTCGAGCCAAAGTGCTGTACATGTAATAAAAACACATTACTACAAACACAATAAAAGACAATAAATTACAATAGATATATAAAAAACACAGGGAAAAGTCAGGAGTCGTGCTCCGCTCTGACTAGAAGGCCAGGGAGAAGAAGTGAGTCTTAACGGTAGATTTAAAAACCTCTAGGGTCTGGGCCGACCTCACATGGAGGGGCAGAGTGTTCCAGAGCCTAGGGCCAGCTGCTGCGAAGGCTCGGTGACCTCGGGTTTTGAGCCTGGTCTTGGGCACTATCAGCAACAGCTGGTCAGCAGACCTTAAAGCTCTGGCTGGGGTGTAGCGCTGGAGGAGTTCAGCTATATAGGCCGGAGCCAGCCCATTTAGTGCTTTAAAAACAAATACAATTATTTAAAAATCAATTCGGACCCGAATTGGAAGCCAGAATGGGGGTTTTTCTGGCCAGTCAGAAGACGTGCAGCTGCGTTTTGGACAAGCTGCAGGCGTTTAATTGAGGCCTGGTCCATACCCACATACAGAGCGTTGCAGCAATCCAGTCTCGAGGTTACAAAGGCATTAATAACCCTTTCTAGGTCTGAAGGGATTGATGGCAGTCGGTCTGAAAAGTAGTGGTTTAAGCTTGACCCTGGATTTGGAAGAAAGGAAGGTGGAGGAGGGCTGCGTTGAGTCACCTGAAATGACAACTGTGAGGAAGGGGAGAGAGCAGATTTAAATGTTTAGCAATGCACAATGATAGGCTTGTGGGAATAGAGGCGAAGTGATAGAGAGGCGAAGTCCCGCCCATCTACTTCCGACCCATGGGACCTTATTTCGGAAAAATGATGTATTGAAGTCAATGGGGAGAGAAAGATTATCTTTCGATCCCGTTTGAATTGTGCCACGAATTACACATGTGATGTTTGTCAATCCTAAAAAAATCATTTCCATGTAAAAAAAGTCACAGTTTGTCGTAAAACTGTTGAAATATAAGACTATGAAAAATACGCAACTAGAAAGACTACAAATCCCAGAATCCCGGTCCAGCATGCTGGCTCTTAGGAACCGACTAACTCCCCTTGTGTGTATGTACAGCTCTCAACATGCCCAGACTTGTAGTGATTTTCACCTCTTTTAATACTTTTCGCCTCATTCTGAAAGAAAGAAGTGAAATGTGCCAACGTGACGGCCGTCTTGGTGTGTGGTGCGAGACGGGAGATGTAGTTCATTGAGCGGTTTCACACAAAGAAAAGTGTTACTTCACAGTTTTACGACACATTTTTACTTTTTTGACTTGCACAATTATCTTTTAAATTGACAAACATCATATGTGTAATTCGTGGCACAATTCAAACGGGATCGAAAGATAATCTTTCTCTCGCCATTGACTTCAATTCATACTTTTTCCGAAAAAAGGTCCCATGGAGGTCCCCCGGAAAGGGAGGGGCTTCGCCTCTCTATAGGTTTAGCTGGGGAGTGACGCCCCCGATCACTGATTGAGAGGAGAGAGAGTAGTAAACTGGGAATATGTGAATGAATGACTAAAGACTGTCTTCCTGGTTGAACTTGCACTAAGCTTAATTTGTTCTCCTCTTAACGCTCGTTATCTTTCCCCCATCAGACGGAACTGCATCCTGGCAGACGAGATGGGCTTGGGAAAGACCATCCAGTCCATCACATTCCTGGAGGAGATCTGCCGTGTGGGCATTAAAGGGCCATTCCTCATCATCGCTCCGCTCTCCACCATCGCTAACTGGGAGCGCGAGTTTCGTACTTGGACCTATCTCAACGTCATCGTTTACCACGGGAGCATGGTCAGCAGGCAGATGCTGCAGCAGTACGAGATGTATTTCAGGGACGCACAGGTAAACGGACAGATCTTTTTGCAGTGTATTATTACATTACAGTCTTGTGTTAGTACAAGTTCACTAAGTCTGAATACTCGTATTACATACGTTCAATTAACTGTCTGGAAAATACCAAATAAAAAACATTGGTTGCATCTAAGGGGGCCTATTATGCTCATTGTCAGGTTTATATTTGTATTGTGTGTCTCTACTGGGATATGTCTCCATGCTTTAATGTTAAAAAAGCTCTTTTTATTTCTGTCATACTGCCTGTGCTGCAGCATTTATTTCAGCGCTAGCCAATAGAAGTGTTGCGTAGTGATGTCACTATGGCCCATAAGTACACAGGAGACCAATGGAGGCATTTCAGGCAGGGGGGGGGGAGGAGGAGTGTGTGGGAGAGAAATTCCCTCTGGAAGGAAACTTTGAGATTTTAGCCTTTGCATTTACATAGAAATCATAACACACTACAGGAAAGGGAAAACCCCCAAAAAGCATAATAGGTAGTACGGCAACTAAATCAAAAACACATTAGACAGTTGCTCTCCAATGCAGACAGTATATTACATGCAATCCATATTAATTTCAACTGTGTAAAAGTGTAAAGGGCGAAAATTGAAAGTCATAATCTGTGATACTGATTCCTTGAGAATGTAATTTTCATGATACACTACATTTTTTTATAAAATGCAAACCTTTTCAAAACATTAAATACATCTTAGATTTGCAAACTATTTCCATTGTGTGTTTTAGGCAAGAACACTGCTTTCCTTCAAAGTGTTGTTTGTGTGTTCTGGCTCCACATGAGTTGTTTTGGCCTTAAGGAGCCGGGAATGACTCAACCCGGGCCTTCCTAACACAAATAGAATTGTGAAGAGTGATGTGCCTTTTTATTTTGTCCTGACATAACTCTCCTTTTTAAAAACAGATGAGGAAAAAGCAGCGTCACTGTGCTTACCTTCAGACTGGAAAGCAGTGATTCACTTCGATTAAAAATAATCACAGTGCCTTTTTAGAGAAAACAGCAACAGCACTGTGTCAGCAGCATGACGTCCTGAGAGTAATCTAATGATGTGTTTGGAAACAGGAGGCCTGAATAAAACAAAAGGAGTCGGATATTGAAAAGCCGGGTGGAACGTGATTACCGTATGTAACACGAAACTACAAACACTGGGACTCTGTAACTAATGCAGCAATCCCACTTACCGCAATGTTTCCAGGCAAATATCACCTGTAGAAGGAGGGAGGCAGGCAGCAGCTGGACTATAGTGAATATCTCAGGAAAATGTTGAAGAAATAACATAAATATCTTATTTGAGACATTGTTAAAGGTTCAGGTAGGTTGGCAGGATCTGGGATCAATAACTAGGTGTCATTATTTCGACTGACATTCAGTGATAGTTTCCACGCTATTCAAAAATATATTTAATGATCCGGGTGTGATATTTATTCACAGGGTCTGTACTCAACAATGATTTTTATTAAGATTTGTTATACTTGCAGGGACTTCTCTACAGCATCACAAATCCTCATTCAAAATCATATTTACATATATATTTTTCCTTCCTTACCAAATATTGCACAAACTGCGATTTGGAAATGTTCAATATGGCCATTTCAAAAAGACGTGGAGCTTTAATTGTGCAACTCTAGTTTCACATTTTAGATAATTCAATGTAGCTAATGATATACTTGTTGTAAGAGAGTAAGAGAACATTTTCCTAATTAAGCGGTACTAACGAAGCGTAAAACAGTGTTAAAGAAAGGGCACGTTCCCGACAGTGAGGGGGGCTGCTAGGTAGTTAGTGAGCCTTGGGCAGAGGCTTTCTGTGGTTGGCAGGCCATGTGATGTGTCACAACAGGCAGCGAGATGCTCTTAGTTTTCAGACGAACCGTGGTAGGAATTACGGCAAAAGAGAGCAGAAGACAGCGCAGCCGCCACCGGGCTGTCTCCCAGCAGCCTGTGATGTCACCGCAGCCCCGAGGGGAGCTCTGTCAGCGGCGCTCAGGCGTATCGCGGAGAGAGGCTGTGGGAGGGCCTTATTGGATAACTGAGTATCCCTCGAGGACTGTTGTCAAGGCAATCGTTACAAATGGAGAGGCAGGGTGAAGAAAAGCCTCCGCAGAAGGACAAACAAACAAATAAACAAACGGCAAAAAGACTCACTAGCAGGTGTGCACTCATGTTAGATTGGAGATAGCTTCACAATCAAGAGGTGTGTAGTAGTAAAGTAAGCCATGTGTTTGCTGTCAACAGCATGAGGCTGCAAATTAGTGGGTTTCCGATGTTAACTGTTAGTGGTTACATGCTCATTATATTCTCTCTGAAAACAGCTTTTTTTTTAATGAGCGTACAAATTCTGCATCATTCAAATGTATAATACTATGAAGCAAATTAAACGTGCTTTAACACACTTCCACTTGTACTACATAACTATGCTTTATCAACCAATTTGACACATTTTCCTGCATCCCTATTTTCTTCTGTAAAGGGCCGTGTGATGCGAGGGGCCTACAAGTTCCAGGCGGTGATCACCACGTTCGAGATGATCCTGGGAGGCTGTCCCATTCTCAACGCCATAGACTGGCGCTGTGTTATCATCGACGAAGCCCACCGCCTCAAGAACAAGAACTGCAAGCTGCTAGAGGGCTTCAAGCTCATGAACCTGGTACATAACACATACATTTAGAAGTTTGATATGTGTGCATTGTTAAAGCTCTCGTTTAAAAACTCATTCCACCTATTTTGACTCAAGACTGTGGGCGTTTCTCAATCGCGAGTACGCTTGCTTGGTAGCACATGTCTGCCGAGCATCTTGCTTCAGAAGCGAGTCAAGAATACTTCCTGGCATTCGGAAAACGAAGAGTGGAACAGGCGAGCAAGTGTGCAGGTGTGCGTCATATGAGAGGCCCCCGCCTTACATCTTCCGCCACAGATTTGGGGAAATTGGTCCGTGCGCAAAGCATTGTGGGGATTTTAAGACCGCGGAGTCTACTCATGTGCAGCGTCGATATTTCTCCAAACGGAGTACGCCGGGCTCGGTAGATTTCCAAGTATGCTGGAGATTGGAACAGTACTTCGGCGGCACTCGATGACGTAGTATGCTTGAAATAGTGGCTCTGAAGCAGCTTTACTCGCGATTGAGAAACACCCTGCGTATCAAGTTCTCTAAAGTATAATGTGTCTAATTATCAAATGTTACATTCTCATTTTGTGTGTCTTGTTCTCTTTCAGGAGCACAAAGCCCTGCTGACCGGTACTCCTCTCCAGAACACTGTGGAAGAACTTTTCAGCCTGCTCCACTTCCTGGAGCCGGCACGCTTCCCCTCAGAAGTCCCTTTCATGCAGGAGTTTGGCGACCTCAAGACTGAAGAGCAGGTGAGCCCACAGATACATGAAGAATATGTCAATTTTCATGTTTTGCGAATATTCCGTAAGTCAGAAATCCACATGTCAATTAATCGGTTCAGATGCTTCAGAGGGCTTCTGGTGCTATTTGTAGTCCTCAACAAGGAAACGCCACTTTTTTTGTTGTTGTTGTTTGAAAACAGACACATTATTGTCTGTTATGGCGCGTTTCCACTACACGGCCTCGCTCGGTATGGCTGGGCCTCGTTAGGACTGGCTCACTTTATGGCGCATTTCCATTACAGTTTAGGAACTGGGGTAGTATCTATAGTAACGCAGTGTAGGCGGAGCCGTGACGTCATCTTCAATGAGAAGCCCAGAAAAACAACACAGCCGTTAGCTGTTAGCACTCAGAGCTCACAGCTCCTCATATATGTTCAGAAACTAGACAAAAGTTAAACAAGTACAAACCACAGACTGTCTGTGTCATGGCGAATACAGTCGCTGCTTTATTTATGTCTGTATAGGCCGTTGTTGTGAGTGTGGACGGTCGGAGCATATACTGCGTTAGCTTAGCCAATCTCCATTTAGAACACACGCATTTTAAAAGGTTTTTCACCTGCCGTCTGTCTGCAGACTTGTCAAAGCATTAATTCATGGTTTTTACTAACCGGTATCAGTATGTTGTTACTTCGGCATCATTTTGAAACGTGTATTACAATTAAATCACGGTCAAATATGTCCATCTTGTTGTAGTTGTAGCCCCCTTGCCAGCGATGCTCTCTCTAGTTTAGCATACTCAGCCCGACTCAGCCTCGTTGTCTCTGGCCCTAGACCCGCGATTTTATGAGGCCAGAAAAACTGTGAATTAGGACCCGCCGGCCGGTACTAGGCCAAGTGGAAACGCAACCAAAGACGGGCCGCTGACGTCACAGCCCTCTTAAACCGTGCTCCGCGCTGTAGTGGAAACGCGCCATTAGAGCCCCACTAAACACAGTTTCAAAGACCCTATTGGTACAGATGGTGTGGATTACCCAACTAGGCCACAGTGAAACAGTATGTTGGATAACTGTTACAAAACAAATGGGCTATTTAGCTACTGATTATTGGACTATGTGTTGACACAAGATAAAAGCGTTTTACCTTTACTTTTAAACTTTGCTGGTTGGCATTTCATTTTTAGGCCGAATCCCTAAAGAGATGCTCGAGGAAAGCATTCAATCATGTTTGAAGTGTTGTGCTCTTGCTGAAAGTAAACAATTTTTGGAACAGCTAGTACTCAACAGGCGGGGATAAATAGAAGCTCTTTGTACCGGTGGAAATGTGAAAGCATTTTTATAGAAAGCGTTGCTGGTGCGGGTATCTTTCCTAAAAACTGTGTTAGTCAAGGGCATGTATGTGTAATGCAAAAAGAGGGAAGCTTGCCCACTCATCGGGGTCGAGTAGTTACTAAGCTGTGATGTTCTGCTGTGAGCACAAACTCATGATAGGAAACCAAAATGAAATCACTGGTTTTAAAACTTAACATATGAATATAAATGTAAGACATTCTAATACATAATAACTCTACTGCTATATATAAATCAAATACAGAATATGACATCATTAGGCTGTAATGGTAAATAAAAAGTGGCGCTAGCTTACATAGCCTTCTCCCTATTTAGTTAATGTGTTCTGATGTTATTTTGATGTTTCTAACATCTGCATACATCAGTCATTTAACACGTATTTCCATATTTGAAGTCTGATTATGCATTATGATCACATTTTGAAGACAATTATTAAAAACAACAAATGTAGTCTTAACTTGGGAATGGAAAAGTCACTGGAGCATGCACACATTTTCTGTAATGACATGTAGGACACTGATGTTCATAGTCTTAATCAGACCCAGCTAAGACTCAGCATGTGTAACCCAACTCATCTGTAGATTACAATATCTTCCATCAGTTACAGAATAATAATAATAATAATAGATTACATTTGTATAGCGCCTTTCAAGGGACCCAAGGCCGCTTTACATGGTGAACAAACAAACAAACAAACAAAAGGGGCAAATAATAAGTAGGAGTGGAAGCAGGGGGACTGTGATGGGTTAGGGGTCAAAGGCCATGGTGAACAGGTGAGTTTTTTAATGATGACTTGAAGATGTCCAGGGAAGCAGCATTGCAGAACATGATATAACTCTCTCCTCCTCTTGGGGCCCTCAGGTCCAGAAGCTGCAGGCCATCCTGAAGCCCATGATGCTGCGCCGGCTGAAGGAGGACGTGGAGAAGAAGCTGGCTCCTAAAGAGGAAACCATCATCGAGGTGGAGCTCACCAACATTCAGAAGAAATACTACCGCGCTATCCTCGAGAAGAACTTCACCTTCCTGGCTAAAGGAGCCGGCCAGGCCAATATGCCCAACCTGGTGAACACCATGATGGAGCTGAGAAAGTGCTGCAACCACCCCTACCTCATCAAAGGTAGGATGAAGTTGAATATAGGTTCATTTAGCTCAAATGTACAATTGTGATCTTGGCAGGCAAAGCAGCAGAAGGTCTGTTATTACTCAGTTTCCTGTTTAGTCTTCAGGAGGTGTGTTTAGCTTACTTTTAAGTTCAGCTTACTATCACTTGATTACACAAGTGACTGTTACATCAGATACAAAGAAACTGGATTTTGAGCATATGCACTGGATCTGTCGTGTTTTTGTGTTCTTTCCTGCTATCACAATTTAACTTATACATTAGGGTCATTTCTGGTTAGGGTTAGGGTTCTGGTTAATATTCATGAAATTGTACTTTATAGGTTGCACAAGCATCTAAAATGTGATATTTAGAAATACTCTCAAATACGCTTTCCCCTTTTTTGTACTCTCAAAAAAGGGGAAAGCGCTGAAGTTGTCATTTGTCCTTGGAAATCAAATCTTGTTAAAAAAGCAATACATCCACACTATTGCTGACGTCCCCGTGTCTTTGCTTCTTCAGGGGCAGAAGAGAAGATCATGGAGGACTTCAGGGAGGTGTACAGCCCCAATGCCTTCGACTTCCACCTGCAGGCGATGGTACAGTCTGCCGGGAAGCTGGTCCTCATCGACAAACTGCTGCCCAAGATGAAGGCCGGGGGCCACAGGGTGCTCATCTTCTCTCAGATGGTGCGCTGCCTGGACATCTTGGAAGACTACCTCATTCAGAGAAGGTACGGGGAACAGATGATGATGGATGTTTTTCATATACTGTACAGTATGGTTCAGATTTTAAAATGACTACACACGTCTGAAAAAGTGCATTTTTGTAATCTCTTTTAGGGCTGTGCAATTAATCATATTTTAATCTCGATTTTGTCTTTCAACGATTACGAAAACAACGTAATCGAAATAAAACGATTATTTTTTTATATTTTTTTAATTGGTTTTTCAGTTGAATTATACTTAAAGTTCAGGGTAATCAACTGTTAAAAACATACTGTTCAAAACTATTTTTTCAATAAATGGATGTTTTCAAAGTAAATGGATAATCGTTTTTAATAATCGTGATATCAATTATTGACCCAAATAATCGTGATCATGATTTTTGCCATAATCGCACAGCCCTAATTTCTTTAAGACGATTCCAAGGTATTTCGAAAAATATCATGCATTGAGGTTAAGAAAAATCTGCCATAACAAGTTAGCAATAGCCATTTAGCTTATATTTAATCAAACAGCATGCAAATAAAATGCTATAATGATATTAGTTCTGGAAAAAACACTTTTGCACTGTGATGTCATAATAATCAACTTGTGCATGATATTTGTTGCACATCCTCTTGCTCTATTAGATTCAGAATGGTTTCAAGGAAGCACCAGATCTTGTGCACATGGCAGGCAGGACTTATTGTGACACTCGGTAGTTGCTCCACACATTGGAGAGGAAGTTCTGAATACTATGGCTGCAAATGGTTAGGGACACTATGTGTATAATGGTTTGTTTTTAGCATGTGATACATGACAGCCAAATGGCAGTGAGAGAAGTTGGCAGCGGCTTAGTGTTTGATCACATCTAATGAGTGAAATCAACACACACACATTCACCCATTTATCTATCCGTTTTTGCAGCCATTTATCTGGGTCAGGTCCAAAAGGGGGCTGGAACATATTTTATAACAGACACTGCCTTATACTAACAAATCCACCACAGGTATGATTATTTGTGTCCAGTTCACATCAGATGCGTATTTTTTTGGACTTTTGGATCTAATTGGAAATGTACCTTCCCTCCTATAGAAAGTATTGGGGGTGGTCTTTTATTTGTCTCTTCCTACACCAGGAAGACAAAGAAATCATGCAATTTCACACATTTCTGCCAAGAATTAAAATGAAATCCTGTCAAACGCCTCAGCTCCATGAGTCATATCATTAGTCTTTAATTAGGAAAATGGTTCTGTTGTCTATTCAAATTGCACTGTATGGTATCTAGACCTGTAATTAGAGTGAATAAAATGAAAAGAAACAAGCATTTTGTTTCCCACCCACAGAGCACAGTGGCAGCTGATAAAGATGATGGACAAGATATTGGATTTATATCACGGCTATGAAGCTCTAACCTAAGGCTCTGCCAAAGTACAACATTACCTTGAACAAAGCGCTCTCGCCTTGTTTCTGTGTGTGTGTGTGTGTGTGTGTGTGTGTGTGTGTGTGTGTGTGTGTGTGTGTGTGTGTGTGTGTGTGTGTGTGTGTGTGTGTGTGTGTGTGTGTGTGTGTGTGTGTGTGTGTGTGTGGTGTGTGTGTGTGTGTGTGTGTGTGTGTGTGTGTGTGTGTGTGTGTGTGTGTGTGTGTGTGTGTGTGTGTGTGTGTGTGTGTGTGTGTGTGTGTGTGTGTGTGTGTGTGTGTGTGTGTGTGTGTGTGTGTGTGTGTGTGTGTGTGTGTGTGTGTGTGTGTGTGTGTGTGTGTGTGTGTGTGTGTGTGATGTGTGTGTGTGTGTGTGTGTGTGTGTGTGTGTGTGTGTGTGTGTGTGTGTGTGTGTGTGTGTGTGTAGCATCTTAGGTAATGCCCAAAGGTCCCATAAAAAGCTGAAATGGGGTGAGTGGTCAGGAACATTTAGCAAGACAACCATGGGGAAAGGTTTACAACTTGCAATAAGCACTGGAGTTAAATGGCAATTAGGAATCTGATAATTACTGATAGGAGTTTGGGTTTTTCTTTGTTTTTCTTCTCAAGTTTCCTGATCTGCACTCTGCTCAGTCTCATTTTTCTTAGTTCTGATCTTTGTCTCCTTACATCCTGTTGTTGCGCTCATGTTTCTGTTTCTGCCTTTCTCTCTCTCTCTCTCTTTCTCTCCGTCTTTCATCTATTTTCCCACCAGCAGCTGAAGCTAACCCTACACTATTGAACAGCTGTGAGGTGCTGCGCTGCACAGACCTCAGACAGGGTTCAGCTGCAGGTTGTAGGAACCCTCAGGGCTTCTCTACATAAGACAAGCAGGAGTTTGTGTGAGGCTTCTCCTGACTGGATTACCCTGGGGGGTGCAGGGGGTCGTATCGTGGGAGTGCAGGAGAATGGTCACAAGATGAAAGAGCATAGAAATAAGAGATATCTGTCAATCTAGGATAGAGATACAGAGGTGTAGAAGGGAAGTCAAATAATGCTTTGGGTCAAATGTAAGTCCATTCGCACTATTGTCGAGCAAGGGGCTGGAGTCACTTAATAACACTCATCAGGAAAACTCAAATGTATGATGCTTGAGCTTTTCCATAAAGCTCTTAACTAAAGAATAAGTATTCAGTGAGTGATTTTGATATACATGCCTAACGGATCGTTTCTTTGTGTTGCAGGTACTTGTACGAGCGTATAGATGGTCGTGTTCGTGGAAACATGCGTCAGGCAGCTATCGACCGCTTCAGTAAGCCCGACTCAGAGCGCTTCGTTTTCCTTCTGTGCACACGCGCTGGTGGCCTGGGAATCAACCTCACAGCAGCAGACACCTGCATCATCTTTGACTCAGACTGGAACCCACAGAACGACCTGCAGGTACGACACACGCACGCACACACACACACACTCACACTCACACTCACACTCACACTCACACTCACACACTCACTTAGCAGTAGATGCAACAGGCTGCTGTAGATTACCATTAGTCTGCAACAAGTAGACAACATCTTGGCACCCTCATAGTTATCTGTTGTCTAACATCTGCTTGTGCAAACGGCTGCCAACGAGACTCATCACCACGACATGTGCCTTACGCTATGTCCAATCAAGAACAAGTGCAAATTTCACGTAATAATTTAAGTTTCCATCTTGGGTCATTAAGGTCAAAGTAGAGGTATTAACACAACAGCTCCTAATTGTACATGTAGTGTATTTTACTCTTCTGCCGTCCTGTAAATGCCTGCCAATGTGTCATCACCACGAAAAGTACTTTACAATATGTCCAACGAAGAACAGATGCAATTATCCCTCAACAATTAAAGTTATCCTCATTTAGGATTAGCTCAAACTAAAGGTATCAGCACAGAAGCTCCTAATTGTACCTGTAGTGCATTTGACTCATATGTTTCTGTCCCCTCACAGGCCCAGGCTCGCTGCCACCGGATTGGTCAGAACAAGGCAGTGAAGGTGTACCGTCTGATCACCAGGAACTCGTACGAGCGGGAGATGTTTGATCGCGCCAGCCTCAAGCTGGGCCTGGACAAAGCGGTGCTGCAGAGCATGAGTGGCCGAGATAACAGCCTGGGAGGAGCCACCGGGGGGGCGGTGAGTTTGAGAATTGTCTGGAATAGAAATAAGGGAATTCAATTATTTAGTCGAGTTCATTTTCAAAGAGGGGTGTTTGATTTTAGAACGTGCTACTATTTTACGAGCTGACCTTGGTGAGACAGGACATTTTTCAGTTCAATTATCTCATTATCAAATGATTTCACAAACTAGCTGGGAATGGAAAAAGTCTGGTGCTAATCACAGAGCAGTTTTCACACAATTTTTGTTTCGTTACTATTTATTAACGTTCCTCTGATGTACCTCTTCTATACCTCGTGTAACAATGAATATTCAACTAACTTTGAGATGTACATTTGTAACACGACAGTTTAAAAATAGCCAAAAAGAGACAAAGACTTCTTCGAATTGTCTCTCCAACAATGATTAAAGTCAAATGTTTCTGATATCAGTCCTGAGTGACATCAGAGGAACAGTGTTACAGATTACAGACAACAACAAGATGCCAAGCAAAGAAAAATAACTTGTTAAAAACCCTAAAACTTGAAGCTCATTCTTCAAAATACCCACTTGAAGTGTAACTGATCCTATTAGAGACTAATCTCTTGTGAGGGAGTGTGTCAGCGTGTTTGAAGTGTGTAGGTGGATGTTTTGCCACATTTCGCTTCCTCTGAGAATTATTAAACGTATGAGGAAGCTGAGATATTAGCAGGTCTCCACATCTGGTCTGGCTGCGACATATTTGCATAAAAAAAGATCTGCTGGGGTTAGATACATCCCTGCTGATGTTATGAAATGAATAATCAAACGTGTGTGTTTCCCCATGTGTTGTGTATTACCATTTATATATTAACATTTTGCCCCTCAAGTCCATCTTATATTCACTTAATCTTTGTTTATAAAGTGTTGTGTGACCCTGGATGTCTCTCTCCTCTGCACCTCGCAGGCCCCTCCGCAGCAGCAGCTGTCTAAGAAGGAGATCGAGGATCTGTTGCGACGGGGGGCTTACGGCGCCATCATGGACGATGAGGATGAAGGGGCCAAATTCTGTGAGGAGGACATCGATCAGATCCTCCAGCGCCGCACAAAGACCATCACCATCGAGTCTGAGGGCCGAGGATCCACCTTTGCTAAGGTGAGTGAAAATAAATACGACTCTAAAACAAGTAATACATATTTCAACTTTATAAACTGTTTTTACTTGGCTCGATTGTGTACATTTAGCTTAGACTGTTTATTTTCCAGCAGGAGAAGCTGGTGATACATCGTACGGGGAATGGCAAATATGATTATGGTTTAATATGATTCTCACGTCTGCTTTCAGGCCAGTTTTGTGGCGTCTGGAAACCGCACAGACATATCTCTGGATGACCCCAACTTCTGGGACAAATGGGCCCAAAAGGCTGACGTTGATATGGAAATGGCTAACGGCAGAGTATGTACTTCACCACAAATGATACAATATACAGAGCAAAATTAGGACCTTTTTTCACAAAGATGTGAGAGCTAGACATCCAGTACGGTCTCAGCCTTTCTTTATCTGCGTTCTAGACCTTGATAGTGCCTTGCTGATATTTTGTTTGGCCTTCATTCTCCCCCTTCAGAACAGCCTGGTGATCGACACTCCTCGCGTCAGAAAGCAGACGAGGCCGTTCAGCGCCACCAAGGATGAGCTGGCCGAGCTTTCAGAGGGCAACAGCGACAGTGACGACTCCAAACCTAAACTCAGGAGAAACCACGACCGCCTCAACAGCTACGGGCGCACAGAGTGCTTCAGAGTGGAGAAGAACCTGCTGGTTTATGGGTAAGATGACTCTAATAGTCTTCAAATCATAGAGACTGTGTGGATGTTGTCCGTTGATGAGAAAGAGTGGAAATTCGATAAAGGGAAAAAAAACGTCATCCTAATATCCCTTACTTTATGCTACTAATGCCAGTAATATGATAGATAGAGAGATGCTTAGATAGACAGAAAGATAGATGGATGGATGGATGGATGGATGGATGGATGGATAGATGGATAGATAGATAGATGGATAGATAGATGGATATATATATAGATGGATGGATGGATATATAGATGGATGGATGGATAGATGGATATATAGATGGATGGATGGATAGATGGATAGATGGATAGATAGATGGATGGATGGATGGATGGATATATAGATGGATGGATGGATAGATAGATAGATAGATAGATGGATGGATGGATGGATGGATATATAGATGGATGGATGGATATATAGATGGATGGATGGATGGATGGATGGATAGATGGATATATAGATGGATGGATGGATGGATAGATAGATAGATAGATAGATAGATAGATAGATGGATGGATGGATAGATAGATAGATAGATAGATAGATAGATGGATGGATGGATGGATGGATATATAGATGGATGGATGGATATATAGATGGATGGATGGATAGATGGATGGATAGATAGATAGATTGATGGATGGATATATAGATGGATGGATGGATAGATAGATGGATGGATGGATAGATATATGGATGGATGGATAGATGGATGGATAGATAGATAGATTGATGGATGGATATATAGATGGATGGATGGATAGATAGATAGATGGATGGATGGATAGATAGATGGATGGGTGGATGGATGGATAGATATATGGATGGATGGATGGATGGATAGATGGATGGGTAGATAGATAGATGGATGGATGGATATATAGATGGATGGGTGGATAGATAGATAGATAGATAGATAGATGGATATATAGATGGATGGATGGATATATAGATGGATGGATGGATGGATAGATGGATATATAGATGGATGGATGGATGGATAGATAGATAGATGGATGGATGGATAGATGGATATATAGATGGATGGATGGATAGATAGATAGATGGATGGATGGATAGATGGATGGATGGATGGATGGATAGTTAGACAGACAGACAGACAGGCAGATGCAAAATGCTGCTATGTACAGTACATGTTTCTCATTAATATCCTTATGTAGCAAAGCTTTACAAAGTGGTTCATTTCAATCTGAGCCCACATTTCTTACATTTAGCTTTTGTCTTTGACTTCAGGTGGGGTCGTTGGAAAGATATTCTGACCCACGGTCGTTTTAAGAAGCAGCTGACGGAGAGGGATGTGGAGTCCATCTGCAGGGCCCTGCTGTCTTACTGCCTGGTCCATTACCGTGGAGATGACAAAATCAAAAGCTTCATGTGGGACCTGATCGCTCCTTCTGAGGACGGACAAACCAAGGAGCTGCAGAACCACCTGGGTGAGTCTCAGGAGGACTTCCAGACAACATTAAGAATATAGAATCGAATATATCTTTATTGTCATCATACAAAGTACAATTTCTTTGGCAACTCTCACAGCAGTAGAAAATAGACACAAATAAATAAGAGTGGCAAAAGCAGAGGTAGTAGCGATGACAGCAACGAGATACAATTAAATGTCAATGTGCATATTTACACTTACAGTCTAGAAACGTTAAATGTACCAAACTGTATAAGTGTAGTGTATTTCGATTAATAGTAGTGGTTGCAGTCTCTGAGGGGCGGAGGTGTGTTCATGAATGTTCACAGTTGTTTTAATGTGCTCTGAGGTTGTGAGTGATAAAGTGAAAGGAGAAAGGAGTGAAACCTTCCCTACCATCACAAAAGATAGTGGAACATAGAGAGATTATACTAAGTGGGATTAAGGAAATGCCTCCTTCTTGTTCCACTAGGTCTGTCTGCTCCAGTCCCGCGGGGCAGGAAGGGGAAGAAGATGAAGATCCAGTCCAGCTCTTTTGACATCCACAAAGCCGAGTGGCTCAGGAAACACAACCCAGAGCACATGCTGCAGGACGACGGCTACAAGAAACACCTCAAACACCACTGCAACAAGTACGGGCCTTCCTCAATACACCTTACATTGTACAAGAAAAACACTTGACCACATTTTGACCCTATTTTCTTTGGTTAAAATGACTTCTAATATTACAGTTGGACTAAAAAAAATTGCTGGTTTATTCCTTGAACAAGGTATGAAGTATGTGTGTACCTCTTCAGGGACTTTAGATAAAACACTGTAATAGCTACATCTGACATAAATCATTTTGTCTCTTTTTGAGGTTAATGTATTTTCATATTATATTATATTATGTATTTATTTCAAAGAGGACCATGCATACAAATACATTCATCTCAGAAAAGAGATTAGCTACAAGCTATTTGAGCTAATAGCTAATGTCCATCTGCAGTCCTCAGGTAGGTACATAACAATCAGCAAACACTAAACACATTGCATCATCTCTATCACACAAACAATGATGAAACATGATTTAAATACAGGTCAATCAAATAATACATAGTACAGTTCAAATATAACATTACAATACAGTTACAATTAGAAAACTCAGATGACATGTTTAATAAAAACACAATATAAAGAGATAATTAAATGTTGGAAGCTGACACTTAACAGTTCAGTTTACATCAAGTATGGCACCAAATTAGATTGTGCCAACTGTATATGACAACAACCAAAATATATAATATTCTAGTCTGTACAAAATATAAATACTCTTGACTTTATAAAATAGTGTTCTTATGTCAGAGACACACTTTAAATATGATATATAAGTGCATTTAACCTGCTCACAGTGCACATGGTGACTAATAGTCTATGGTTGGTTTGATTTATCTCTTGTGGGAGTGTGTGTCTCTGTGTCTGTTTTTAAACCTTTATGCTATTATAGCAACTGGCAACGGGTCATTATTCTCATCCAGCACATATTGTATCAGTTTCATTTTAGTAGAATAAAAAGCCTGAAGTGTTTGAAGATACAATTTGTACATGGCTCAAATGTTAACTGTGGCACCTCCAAGCCACAGTAATTATGAGGCATTAAAACGTCTATTGGAGCCGACAGTCGACTGATTAATTAACGGACGTGCATCACATCGCGACCAGCTGACTGATGCGAAGCTTAATGACACTTCAGCCGTGCTAATGGCCGTCATAGATCTCTCTTATTTACAGGGGAAAAGAGATGGCTGCTATCAAAACATAGGCCGCTGAGATATAAAGCCTAGTAGATGGCTGCTCCTTTTTAAAAGGGGGGCTTGTGTCCGCAGAGCGCTGCAGCGTCCATAGAAAGTTCTCCATTGTTCCCCTGCCCAGTTGTGCTGAATCCAGGGATTGTCTGATATGTGACACGCCAGGCAAACTGGGACACAGTCAGCAGGGTTTGCTGACTTGTGCGTTTTCTTTACTTTGAGGACCTGGAATGTGGCTGGTGGGGGTGAGAGGGGGGGGTTGGGGGGTCACTAGCCTCCTTAACAGGACCGTAAATGTAAATGACTCCTACACAGGAAGGGACCCTTTAGGAACTAGTGGGAATGCAATGATGCAGATAGTTTCCAGAAGTTTTCAAAGACAAGCGTGTCAGAAAATCTAATCATCATATTATACATTTCTTGTTCTTCAATCAGTGTGTGTAGTTTTTACTGTATAAATATCACATATCCTGTACGTGTTAGTGTATTTAAGATGTCAAAATGTGCTTTTGACATTCAAAGACTCAAAAGCTTTATTCGTGACACACAAAATAGCTTCAGTGTAGTTTGGCATTGGACATTTTGGGTCTCGTGCTCCTCAAACAATAAAACCTGCAATAAAATAGTGAAATTATTTAAATAAGTTGCTGGATAAAGGAATATATCAACATGTAAAAAATCACAAGAAGAAACAAAATGTAAAACTAAGTACTGTCTAGTAAATTAATTATGTTATACTGTAATAATATATACAAATAAGGACTATTAACTGATGTCAGATGAACAGTTAATTATGAACATACATTGTGTGAACGATGACACTTCACAGAGCTCAGGAGTTTAACAGTCTTACAGCCTGTTGGATAAAACTGTCCCTAAGTCTGGTGGTTTTGGATTGGAGGACACAGTCTGGATAAGGCACATTAAGATCTCATGTGCTTTGATTTGGAATCACATCTGTGACTCAGCGTCTCGCCGTTACGCTGGTTTTCTGTGAACAGACTATGTGGGATTATTCTCATGCCTCACATCATGTCATGCATTCTTGGGCTTACTCGCTTCAGAAAGACAGTGGTATGACTGAGATCCTCAGCAGCCTCTCTGAAGGGACCACATCACACACACACACACGCACACGCACACGCACACGCACACGCACACACACACACAGTGAGTAACAAAGACACACACACACACAGTGAGTAACAAAGACTGGGATCAGAGTGATGAAGGGCTGTGCTGACAGGCAGAGGAAGCAGCAGCTGCTCCTGAGCGGCTCCACACTGGAGGGTGGAGGAGGAGGAAGTTCAACACTTTGATTTACCAGAGCTACAAGTCCAGACTGGTCACCACAGACATCCATCACACACACACACACACACACACACACACACACACACACACACACACACACACACACACACACACACACACACACACACACACACACACACACACACACACACACACACACACACACACACACACACACACACACACACACACACACACACACACACACACACACACACACAGTGTCTGAGCAGGGTTGATATTACAGAAGGTGTGAGGTAGATGGGAATCTATGACCTGGTGTGAATGACAGTCAAAGTGCTGCAACAAATATTATGATTTCACTTTGAACTTTGTTTTTTCCACTAAATGACAGCAGGTTTGAGTAAATTTGTGTTTGAAAGGAACGTTTGTTTGTCTTGAGAGAGGATTTTCTTAGTTTTGACCTCATCGACTACATACATAAGTTGGTCACCTGTCTGATACATTTTGTGGATCGTATGTAGAGAATAAACCACAACACCTTCTGGAAGATAATAAAGAAAAAAGAATTCTGGAAAGAGAGTTGTTTTTCAGTCTTCTAGATCATATTCTTCTTAATTATATATTCACCTTTTGAGATATCAGAGGTTTGGCAACAGGTGCTAGACAGTTGTGCTGCTCCACTGGTGTGCTACTAATGGGGAACATTTATAATTGTCCTTATCTACTCTGGCTTGATTAACAATTTGTAATTGTGGTGTGGTAGGGGCTTGATTCAGGAAAGCTAGATGTGCCAATTTTCCTGAATTTCCCCACTCATTTGGCACAATCAGAGAATACTGTATCTCCTCTGAGATGTAACCATTCTGTTAAGAGTAATTGTAGGACAGATAATAACTCCAGTTATATCAATGCCCCACAGAGAGTCTCGCTCCAATGCCAGGAATCCTGAAAACCTCCACATTTTGCCAACAGCCAGCATTACACGACGGAATTGAAAAATCATTCTGCGTTTAGACAAAATGATTACACGGCAGGCTTTGTACATTAAGCAAAAGACGTTACGGCCTGGCACACCACAGCTCCCACCACTTCACTGTGTCTTCGTTTCAAAGCCTGCCGCCTGTGATGTGTGATCATGCATCACGGAGCTAATGTCTCCCCGGTGAGTCAGCCTCTCGCTACCTTGTCATCCTCCACTTCCCAACCTTCATCTGCTGCCAGAGCACGACCACATGACGACTGGAGAGAGAGAGACGGCTGTCTGTTCAATCGGGTCCTCGGAGCTTTTCTGTGGAGCCGCCCACTCTCTGTGTGGTCTATACATCATCCTCAGTTAAAATACAAAACACCACATTAATTAAATATGAGTATCTGCTCTAAGGATTTAAAGCTGTACACACAAAGAAAATCCTAAACTCAGACATCCTTATTTGCAAGAATGCTGTAGTTTGTGTGAAACGACATGACTACACAGAACAATTTTTCGGATTCCAGCTGAATTGTCACACATTTGACTAATTTGCATTGTGTGTAACAGGTCGCTGTGTGTGTGTTGGTTCTGCTCGCTCAGCGTTTGTGCCTGCTTTGTTGTGACCACTGGGTTTTCTGTGTGCAGGGTGCTGCTCAGGGTCAGAATGCTCTACTACCTGAAACAGGAGGTGATAGGAAGCCAGGCCCAGAGGGTTTTAGACGGCGTGGACTCCAGGTGAGCGGACATCACTCTACATACACTCACTGTTATCATTGTTAGCTTTTTTTCTACAACTTCAAACTGCTTAACACTCTTGAAAAACATAATGCAATAGATGGTAACTAACACTTTGCCTAGTCCCAGATCAGCTCACATTATATAACAGCTGATTACATGCTTTAGGTCAGATTGATTTAGCAGATGTAATCCGACACTACACACCCGGGCAGAGTTTCCGTACCGAGGTGAATTAACTGCCTCATAGATTTTTCTCCTTGAGTGGAGTGTGGTCATTAGCATATGGTATCAACCTGTTGAAGGGAGAATCATCTGATGAAACCACATGAATAAGAAGGTTGTAGAGCTCCACCTGCTGGTGAAAGACAGGCAGTTCTTCTATTATACAGCACTGTTTAAAATGGTTGATCAAGCTGCTTTTAAATAAGAAATCCCCAAAGAAAGTTAAAGGAAGCTGCCTTTTGGTGTTTCACAATAAAACCCCTTCATGGAGAGTATTGTGTTTGGCCTCATGAACAGATAAACATGTGTGTATTTAATAGCAAATTATTAAAGCAAATGGAAGCATAACAAAAAGACGATCATTGGATTAAATCAGTAAAGATTCCACCAAATGATGACTCTTTAAATCTCTTCCTCCTCCTACTCTGTAGTGATATAAAGATCTGGGTGCCAGACCCTGACCACTCGGAGCTGCCGGCCTTGTGGTGGGACGCCATCGCTGACAAGTGTCTGCTGCTGGGTGTCTATAAGCATGGTGAGAAACCTCAGCTCTTACTATGTGTTGTTTTATTTAAATATTTAGGGTTATCCAAATAAGAAACATGTGCTTTAAACTTTAAAATGATCCATTATACTTTGCTGACTCAGTTATTTGCTTTTCCTCCTGTGCTCTCCCAGGTTATGAGAAGTACAACACTCTGCGTGCGGACCCCACTCTGTGTTACCTAGAGCGCGTGGGACGTCCGGATGATAAGGCCATCGCTGCCGAACAGAGAGGCAACGACTTCATGGACGGGTTCGTACAAACATTATGTGGACTTGACTTTAATGTGCATGTCTTTTAGATATTTTTTAAAAGAGTGTGTCAGCTGTAAAAATGACTGTGTGTGTGTGTGTGTGTGTGTGTGTGTGTGTGTGTGTGTGTGTGTGTGTGTGTGTGTGTGTGTGTGTGTGTGTGTGTGTGTGTGGTGTGTGTGTGTGTGTGTGTGTGTGTGTGTGGTGTGTGTGTGTGTGTGTGTGGTGTGTGTGTGGTGTGTGTGTGTGTGTGTGTGTGTGTGTGTGTGTGTGTGTGTGTGTGTGTGTGTGTGTGTGTGTGTGTGTGTGTGTTGTGTGTGTGTGTGTGTGTGTGTGTGTGTGTGTGTGTGTGTGTGTGTGTGTGTGTGTGTGTGTGTGTGTGTGTGTGTGTGTGTGTGTGTGTGTGTGTGTGTGTGTGTGTTGTAGGGATGTGGATGACCCAGAGTACAAGCCTGCCCCCGCCCTGCTGAAGGACGATATGGAGGTAAGGCCACGTGACCCACAGCTGCATGCTGGTCCTCTATGACTTTGACCGCTGTGTATTTGAGCTTGGATTTGATTAATTGTAAAACCCATCAGTTTGGTAACCTTATGTTCCTTGCTTACGTATGTGTTCTGTAGTCACACTCTGTCCTCTCACGCAGGATGACGCCTCTTCTCCTGGAGATCTCGTTGTCGTTGACAATGCCGGAGGTGAGTATTAGATGCTTGTAATCCACAGTGGATTATCTTTGCTGTGATGAAAATAAAAACAGGCTTTCCACAAGCGGGGGAAATCTGGGAAAGTTGTGAAATGTAAAGTTAGGCAAGTTTATTTATATAGCACATTTCTACAACGAAGCAATTCAACTGCTAAGTGCTCCACGTGCTTTACAATACAAATATTTAAAGTATTCGGACATAGTGCGAAAAAATCATTTCAAAATTACAATTCAATTTAAAAAGAGTCATTAAAATGCTGAAAAAATACAAATTAAAACAAGCTAAAGTATAATAAGACTTGTATAACATACTTGAACAAAAATGACAAGATATAAATTGATTATTTTAATAAAGGCAGCGGCAAATTTAAAAGTCTTAATTTAAGGGCAGAATCAGAAATCCTTTATTTGTACAATAGCAGGTACATTTACATTGTTCCACCATAGGGGCGGTGCAGATAAAAGGCAAATAAACTGAGTAGAATAACATTAGGAATAGAAAAACATGTCTTTATTTTAATAAAATAAGTACAGATGCAAGGTATAGAAATTGGTTGCCGAGTTAGAGTTAGTGAAAATGTAAAAAAAGATGAACTAGCAGCCAGTATTAATATTATTAAATTGTGAAAGTATATAATGCACAGTGTTATTTCAGTGTTGTCACAGTCTTAGGTAGTGGTAGTCTCGTGTTTATGTGATATCAAACTTAATATTACCAATGAAGATGTACATGTAAGTCCTAGTAATGTCCTGGAAAGACTTGAATGACAATTGTAAAATAAAATGATTTGAATTTGGGGGATTTAAAAGTGAATTGTACTTTCTGTTTCTCTGATCAGATGCAGTTCCAGTGACTGGAAGTCAGACTTCCTACTGGCCTTCCCCCTCAGTGCTGACTGCCAGGCTGAGGCGGCTGATCACAGCCTCTCAGCGCTTCACCAAGAGCCGGCAGATCCTCCAGATCCACCAGACGCAGACTCCGTCTCCCTCCTCCATGATGCTGTCCGCTCCCCTCTGCCCACTGCCCCCCACACTCAACGACACCCTCAACCCCAAGATGGTCGCTAAGATTGAACGGCAACAAAGGTCAGTGTAGGAGCCAAAATGCTGTGGTCGCCTGTGTTTATAGTTATATTACCTTCATTATTTGTTTACACCACACACACTATTAATGGGTTGTTTCCGGTGATTGTCACATGGGTGTAGTTAATGGTATTTAGGGTACCTGGTGTATGTAGAGGTTGAGCAGCATGACAATGGGGGTGAGCTTAGCTCTGATCACTTTGTTGACCGTATGATTCTGTTTGTTTATTGTTTTGGTTTACAATATTAAATATCCTTAAAATGTTGAGTTCAGTACAGACTTTATTATTTATACGCGTCACATCAATGAGCGAAGTTTAGCCTCAGAGCGGCCGTATTCAATGGGAATATAGCCGCCGCAATTAAGTCAACAGAAACAGCACAAGCTCACCCTCTGTGGGACGATGTTTCATTGAGATATGACTTCATTTTGTAGGAAAAGTGTCATCACCGGGTACGTGTCTTTCTCCCCAGATGGACGAGGCGAGAAGAGGCTGACTTCTACCGTGTGGTCTCTACTTTTGGAGTCGTTTTCGACCCGAGCCTCGGCCGGTTTGACTGGAACAAGTTCAGAGCCATGGCTCGGCTGCACAAGAAGACCGACGAGAGCCTGCAGAAATACCTGTGTGCTTTTGCCGCCATGTGCCGGAGGGTGTGCCGCCTGCCACCCAAAGAGGGAGGTGAGGGGTCCTTTTGATTATTCACACATCTACACACACAGACAAACTGTTAGTCTGGACATTTGGACCACCGCATCCACATTTCGTTTTTAAAATCCCTACAGAAGATCAGTTACTGTGACCTGTCAATTTGTCGATTGACAACAAATAATTGTCAACTATTTTGGTTAGCGATGCATCAAGATTTCCTGTTTCCCTCTGTTTTATATCACACTAAACTGAACATATTTGGGTTTTAGAAAACAAGACATTTAAAGGCATCACCTGTAGGAAACTGAAGTGACGAATGGCTTAATGGATTATAAAAAAATAATGTATTTAAAAGTGAATTATTAATGTTGTTGCAGCCCTTATTGTTATTTATTGCAGCCCCACACTGTATCCATGAAATAATGCTTGGCCCACTTCTCAAAGTATATTTAAAAACTAATGATTTACCTATTTTGAACATTGGATAAGTAATGATATTGCCTTATGTGTCTGTATTGAACATATGGTGGCTGTGGAAATGCCATATTAGGGTATATTATGTATTTCTACCTAATGTACCATGCTCTGAGTGACTTATACTGTATGACCCACACGCCGGCTGTAAATGATTTAATTCTGGAGAGGGGTCGGCAGCATCTTATTAACAAGCTGGCTCAGCAGCACTCAAGCAGAGGGGCTGATAAGGTTAATCATTTGCTGGAAGACAAACAGTGTGATGTTTAAACTCAAACAGGTCGGTGGGTTGTACCTGTAGAGCAGCCTTCCTTTCCTCTCACACACTCACACCTGCTCCTCCGTCTTTTGTTCCAGACGCTGCGGTGGAGCCGTCCCTGAACATCCAGCCCATCACAGAGGAGCGAGCGTCTCGAACGCTTTACAGGGTGGAGCTGCTTCGCCAGGTGAGGGAACAAGTCCTTCGCCACGAGCTGTTCTACGAGCGCCTGCTGTTGTGCCAGATGAGCTCCGACCTGCCCGTCTGGTGGGAGGCAGGAACCCACGACCGAGACCTGCTCATCGGGGCCGCCAAGCACGGAGTCAGCCGCACAGATTACCACATCCTGAGGGACCCCGAGCTCAGCTTCATGGCGGCACAGCGCAACTACAGCCAAACAAAGACCGCTCAGCAGCATTCACACACACCCACCCCTCTCCTACACCCTCAGTGCCAGCCCAGCAGCTCCATGTTGACGGGCTCTCCGCTGCCTCCTCCGACCCACACAGACGCAGAGCTCGGTGGGGTCGTACCCAAAGTGGAGCCGGCCTCAGAGGGGGAGGAGGGCAGGGAGGAGGGCAGGGAGGAGGGCAGGGAAGGAGGGCAGGGAGGTGGGCAGGGAGGAGGGCAGGGAGAAGCAGGCGGAGAGATGGAGCCCAACTCGAGCACCAGCGACTCCCACGGGTCTGGAGGAGAAGCCGCTGTTTGAGATGATTGGTGGCGAGATGCAGTTGGTTGCAGCGTGCACCAAGCCCATCACCCCCAACTCCTCCGAGAGGAAACCCAAGAAGGCCAAGAGGCGCCGCAGGGAGGCCAAGAGGGGCTCTGAGTCCGACTCAGGCGGCTCCTCCTCCAGCTCTTCGTCGCGCTCCTCTTCCACCTCCTCATCCTCCTCTTCTTCCTCATCACATTCCGGGTCCAGCTCCTCGTCCTCTTCGTCGTCTTGCTCCTCTGGTTCCTCGTCATCATCGTCTTCCTCCTCGTCTTCTTCCGATGGCAGCAACAGTGAGGGAGAGGAAGGGAAGAAGAAAGGTTAGTAAACTAAAAAAATTCAAAAGTGTAGGTGGAAAAAAACTGTACTATTAATATTTGGTTTGGAGAAAATACATATTTCACTAAATGACTGATCTGCTAGACTTTTCAAATGAAACAGACTTAATCATGGTTTGTTTCTGCTGTCCTGCTTTCATTTGGCCCATTAGCAACGGAGGGCAGTTTGCATGCTTAAAAGCTTCCGGTGTGTTCCTAACATCTGTCTCTGTGTCCTGTGTTCTCAGTGCCTGCAGCAGCAATGGTGAAGGGCTTTGACGAGGACAGCGTGGCGTCTCTGACCATGACGCAGGATGAAACCCAGGAACCTCACACGGCTGAGAACGGCATCACCAACAACTCCTCACATCCCTTCCAGGGAGGAGGGTACATGCTCGCTGCATCCTACTGGCCAAAGGTGAACACCTGCAATCCAGTTACTAATGCATAACAACACTGCATGGCCAACAAAGCATCAGATCAAGTATTAGATAGATAGATAGATGGATGGATGGATGGATGGATAGATGGATGGATGGATGGATAGATAGATAGATAGATAGATGGATGGATGGATGGATGGATGGATGGATGGATGGATAGACAGACAGATAGATAGATGGATGGATGGATGGATAGACAGATAGATGGATGGATAGATAGATAGATAGATGGATGGATGGATGGATGGATGGATGGATAGATGGATGGATGGATGGATGGATGGATGGATAGACAGACAGATAGATAGATAGATGGATGGATGGATAGACAGATAGATGGATGGATAGACAGATAGATGGATGGATGGATGGATGGATGGATAGATAGACAGATAGATGGATGGATAGACAGATAGATGGATGGATGGATGGATAGATAGACAGATAGATGGATGGATGGATGGATGGATGGATGGATAGACAGACAGATGGATGGATGGATGGATGGATGGATGGATGGATGGATGGATGGATGGATGGATGGATGGATGGATGGATGGATGGATAGACAGATAGATGGATGGATAGATAGATGGATGGATGGATGGATGGATGGATAGACAGATAGATGGATGGATAGACGGATGGATGGATGGATGGATAGATAGATAGACAGATGGATGGATGGATGGATGGATAGACAGACGGGTAGATAGATAGATAGATAGACAGATGGATAGATAGATAGATAGATAGATAGACAGATAGACAGATGGGTAGATAGATAGATAGATAGACAGATGGGTAGATAGACAGATGGGTAGATAGACAGATGGGAAATGGGATTTTTTTGCGTTGCAGCAGCATAAAAAACAAGACAATGTACATAAGAGAAATTAAGATTTTTGAAATATAAATAAAATAGCATTGAGAAGTAAAAAAAAGATATATATATACATGTGGAAAATATACATTGTGGACATATTTCCAGTAACAAATATAATGCAGGATATTATTGTGCAAGAAATTGATTATTCAATATTAAATTGAATATAAATGTGAAATGTACAGTGCGAGTTTAAGTCCAGTTCTCAAGAGAAGCTTTTAAAGGTATTAAGTGAAATGAGAACTAATGGAAGCGATTACCCTGGTGAGGAGGGAAATCAGAACTGATGCAAGACTGTTAACGTGCTAATGTTGTTTATTTAGGATCGTGTGATCATCAACCGCCTGGACAGCATCTGCCAGGCGGTGCTGAAAGGCAAGTGGCCGGGAACACGTCGGGTGTACGAGCCCGGTGCCGTGGCCTCCTTCTACACAACCAAGCTGCTGGACAATGCCAACAGTCTGTGCGAGGACCCCTCCGCTTCTCCACAGGGGTCAAAGGTGACCAAGCATGTTGCAGAAAACAAGGAGTTCTCAGTAAAACTCAACGATGTATGTTGATTTCGCCCTTCCTCTCCACCTCCCTCGCTTCGCCTAACCGTAGGACCCCAACGCTGCCATGACCGGCGCTAGCTGCCGCGTTCAGCATGTTTCTCTGGGTTTTTCTTCCTTCTTTCCTTTGGGTATGATTAGTGGTTTTTACTGCCTGGCAGGAGGAGAGATTAATTTAATAGCAGCCTTCCTTTCTTTTCCCACACACTCAATTTGAATTGGGCTCTGGGGCTGTGATTACATGAGCACAAATCAGTCAGTCATGAGAATATAACAAGGGTTGAGTTTGAAGCCTCTTTAGACTGGAGGAGTCTTGCTTATAATCTCATTGAAATGGAGGCCGTGGCTGTGGGTGTGCTCTAATATGCTTCCAGGCAACGCGGCTGTTAACTCTGCAGGCCTGACATGCTTCCACTTACTCCTTGCTTGTGTGCTGCTTTTTGATCGGGGTCTTTTTTTCCCACATTTTTACACAGACCCTCAGACCCTGCTGCTTGTTACCTTGAAAATGTGTAAATGCTGACAGCAGCTATCAGTTTGGCATGGCTTCCCACTACAGTACAAACTATGAATAGACTTTACCCACTGCCCCGCGTGTGTCAATACTACTAACAAGAAAATACCTGACAAACATTTGCTTTTTTGTAAGAAATTCTTATCAATTACATGATTAATCACATACATGGAAATGGAAATGTAACACAACTATTGAGTTTGATACAAGGACCCTGAAATGACTGGACATACAGACAGAGAACTCCGTAAACAGTCCAAGTTTAATACAAATACAAATAATAAGCTAGAATCCCTCCTTGTATATCGCTCACTTTGTTTTCCCAGTCACTATAAATCTTCCTAGACGTATCCAACACATGTTCTTGTCTGTGTGTTCAGCAGGAGGGAGGTCTGAAGTTGACCTTCCAGAAACAAGGTCTACCTCTGAAGCGGCCCCTGGAGTCGGAGGAGGGGCCCCAGGCGCAGCAGCAGTACCTGGCCCGCCTTCAGGAGCTGCAGAGCGCCTCGGACACCGGCCTGGCCGACATCACCAAGCCTCAGTGCAGCTTCCAGAGCGGTGGGTTTATTCAAAATACAGAAAACAAAATAAGACCTGAGCATACAGACTGTGTCGAGGCATGTATTCCTTTACTTTCCTTGTAACACCACTAGATGGCAGCAGAGTATAGTTTTAGTTAGTGAAGACTGCAAAGACATAAGCCATCTTCTGTAGGCCTACCGGATTTGTTTAAACAACTATTTACAAAGCAATTGTAATTGTTTAGTCTGAAATAAACCATCTGAATGTTTCATAAAAAAATACAGTACAGTAAAAAGCTGTTTATTGAATTCTGAATGTGTGTCTACAATTTCCAATTACACCTCGAAGCTTCATTACTTCAAAGAGGCCTACAGCTAACACGCTTCTTCTCCTGCAGTTCCTCCAGGTCTCCCTGCTCAGATGAGGCTGAACGGAGCACTGGACGGCCAGCCAGTGGTGAAGAGGCGGAGAGGGAGGAGGAAGAACGTGGAGGGGATGGACCTGCTCTTCATGAACAGGAACAGAGCCCCTGCTGTTCCTGATCAGGTAAGCAGCCAGTCTTAGCAGCTTGTACGGCACCACAACGCTCAATCTGTTAAAAAATACAAGAACAATCATAAGAAAGGAGATGTGTTTGATCTAAAGCTTGAGAAGAGGGGCACAGAGACTGTAAAGAAACCATTTAAAAATATTATATTAATAATTATACGTAAACATTTACAAGCTACAAAACACATATCACTAACTGAATATCCTAAAAATTCAACGAGTCTAACCGTTACTACTAAAATCAGTCTAAACATCAGTGTATGCTTGCTTTGGGTCACTGGTTACAGTTGCTTATGGTTTAATCATGGTATTGTTTGTGTGTGCTTTACAAACACTGTGTTGTGCTCTTGTTTATCCAGGTGCCTCCAGGGTGGGGGGGGTATTGGTCAGGTGGCCATGGCTGTGGCCCCGGTGCCGGGCTACAGCCAGAGCTCCAGTCAGGCGCCCGCAGACACTGACAGCCGGGTGCCCGTCATCAACCTCAAAGACGGCACTCGGCTGGCAGGGGAGGACGCCCCCCGGAGGAAAGATCTGGAACAGTGGCTGATGGAGCACCCTGGCTTTGTGGCAGACACAGGAGCCTACATCCCTGTGAGTTCATTACTTATGTAACATAACATGTCCCTGTGAGCTGGGTCTGTAGACTTTTTAGATTAGATTCACTTTATTGATCCCATATTGGGAAATGTTTTTTACAGCAGCATGTTACCAAGGCATAGCACATAATAGAAGATAAACTGTAAATGTATACATATCAACAGTAGAAATATGTATATCTATAGAGTATCTATTCAATACACAATGTAACAAAAACACAAGGAGAAACTCTTGAAATCATAAGATATACCATTTTTGTTAATGGATTTAGAGGAACACATATGCTGTTCAGAACATGGCTTTCAGATATGTGGTTTCCAACAGATTTAAAAACAAGTACACTCATAGTTGGCTTGTGCAGAAAGGTGACTTCAGTCAGACATTTGCTGTCAACATGACCATGTCTCCATGTCTCAATGTCTCCATGTCTCAATGTCTCAATGTCTCCATGTCTCATGTGCAGGGGGTGAATAAGATGCAAATGCAGTTCCACTTCCAGGACGGTCGGCCCAAACAGAAGAGGCACCGCTGCAGGAACCCAAACAAGATCGATGTGAACAGCCTGACCGGAGAGGAGAGGGTCCAGATCATCAACAGGAGGAATGCACGCAAGGTGTGTGTGTGTGTGTTTGTTTGTGTGTTTGTGTGTGTGTGTGGGTTTAAGAACACCCTCAATCTCAAACAAATTGTACCCACTCTTGACCTTTACCTATTACTACAATACAGCTCAGATTCTACTACTAATTGGTCCTTTTAACAAGGATGTAAAATAAGTGATATGTTTGTCCTAATTGTAAAATGTGTATCTTGCCTGTTGTACATTTGTTCATGTTTCTGTAATCTTTCATTCTGTAGGTCGGTGGAGCGTTTGCTCCTCCTCTGAAGGATCTGTGCCGGTTCCTTCAGGAGAACCCCGAGTACGGAGTCCCACCTGAATGGGCTGATGTCGTCAAACAGTCGGTGAGTCACTCACTAACAAATTCATCCAAACTATCACTGGACTATGATGTGTCAGAAAAGTGTTTGAACAGTGTTATCCAATACACTGTTGCATCTTTATTAGATACTCTTAGCCAAAAATAAAATCAATAACTTCCCAGTAATAAATCCTTTCACATACTTTGTAAACTGTTTTAGAAGGTGTGATTTAATGGTAATATTATTCTGGAAGCTGTAGTTTATGGTGTTATATTTGATCTGCATGAAGGTAGGCTACAGTTTCAACAACTGTGATGAATGTAGGATTGGTTGCATGGCTGTTGTATCAGACTGCTTTAGTTTGAGCTTGATGCACATGGAAAATTAGCAACAGTATATGCGTACTGTGATTTGCAATGAAGTATCATCTCTAGCTGTGCTGTGTATCTCTGCTCACCCTGCATATATTTCCTCCACATTGTCTCCAGGGTTACCTCCCAGAGAGCATGTTTGACAGGATCCTGACGGGACCCATCGTTCCTGAGGAGGTGAGCCGGCGTGGACGTCGACCCAAGAACCCTCTGGCCAAGGCAGCAGCGGCAGCAGCAGCAGCAGCAGCAGCTTCAGCCCCAAACCCCGCTGCCATGGGCCTGAACCCCCTGCTGGCCAACGGGCTGCTCTCTGGGCTGGACCTCAGCAGCCTGCAGGCCTTCCAGCAGAACCTGCAGAGCCTCCAGAGCCTGCAGCTCACCGCCGGCCTCATGGGGCTGCCGACCGACGCCAGCAACCTGGCCGCCAGCAACCTAGCCGCCATGTTTCCCATGATGCTCTCTGGTATGGCCGGATTGCCTAACCTGATTGGCATGAGCAGCCTGCTGGGGAAGCCGGCTCAGGACGGCGCAGGAGGCTTCGAGGAGAAGACAAAGGGAAGCGGCGCAGCAGGAGAACCGTCTGCCTCGAAAGCCTCAGAGCCCAGAGGAGAAAGGACAGAGGGCTCAAACTCCACTCCTTCCTCCACTTCCAGCTCCTCTTCCTCCGCCCCACTAAGTGCTTCAGCTGCCTCTTCACTGTCTCTCAACCCCTTGTTACTCTCCAGTATGCTTTACCCAGGGATGCTTCTCACTCCAGGCCTTAACCCCCCCACACAGCCGCAGAGCTCTAACTCTGGCCCCCCCCTTCCTCCTGCAGGCTCTTCGCAGGAGATCGCTCGGCTAGCGGCACAGAGGGACGCAGAGGAGGATGACGAGGCATTAGAAGACGATGATGAAGAAGAAGATGACTCAGCAGAACAGAAGGAGAACAGTGGTCCTGACGGTTCGGGGAAAGCTGAGTCATCTTCCTCAGAGTCTGGGAGCTCCTCTTCATCGGATGATTCAGACTCCAGTGATTAGGACTGATCCTATGAATATAATTATAAATTTATTTATGTATCGCCTAGAAATGTATACATATATTCACATATATATGGATTTTCCAGCACTTATGTTGCGATTTCTTTACATGTAAATACAAGAACTAACAAAAACGTTGTGTAAAAAAGACCACAAAAACCTTTAAAAAAAACAGTAAAACTGACTTAAAAAGAACTGAAATAAAATGTCAGTGTTTGTTCACAAGGTACAGTCTTGTTTTGAGACATTTTGCATGTCAGACTTTAGTAGATTTCTGAACTCTGTGAACCTGTACCACACTTATGTACAATTGCAACAAAAAAACGGCATTATTGTAATTATGTCAGGATTTAATTTTATTAAAAAAGTGAAACTACATCAACATGCTCGTTGAGCTGTACTATTAATATATTTTGATTGTTTGGGGCCGGGGGAACGAGACTTGACAAACACTTTTCTTGTAAATAGTCGGTACTTTTACAGGTTCGTTGACACTTATGCTTTGCAGATCATACGTTGGATATGTCAGCAATAACTTGGGCAGCTAATGAATGTCACTGAAGCTGTAGATTCTGTCTGCCATGTTCCACCCAGTGCACAACTCACCTGTCATATCACGTCGACTTCATTTCTGTATTAGTCCACATCCTTTTTGGAAACAGTTACCTGAAGCTCACTCTTTGCGCTTCACTTTGGGGAAATCTATGGAAGTATTATGTTTTCAATCCGCTTAAATCTGTCAAAATGGATCGTAATTGAGATTTAAGTTTTCACATTTAATTTGAGAAACATGTCCAAGGCGCACTTTAGCTTCTGACAGCAGGTGTACACACTCACTTGCACACACATGTTAATAATGACTTAAGTGTCAGTCTAATAAAGCTGTGGGACAGAAAACAACCTTTTACTGTGTGCCAAAAACTGCCCTCTGACCCTCTGAGGTCCTCATTTAGTTACTTTTGAAAGAATTCAGGATGTTATTACTACCACCCCGGCATATTTGGCTGCATCTTACCTCAACTGTTAAAATGGTCTGACTTCACTGTGCAACTGTGCATGGGTGTGTGTTATTGCTGTCCATGTACAGAACATAATGTCCTTGTTTCTGCTGGAACGTGTTTGTCAGAGGCTGTGTTTTTTTACTCAGAGCTTCCACTGTGTTTTCCGTGGTTTCACTCCTCACCCGGTATCTCCTGCTTCCATCACTTCCAGTCTGAATGCTGTGTATTAAGGGGGGGCCCTGCAAAGCTATGACCAGTAAAAAACGTTGACCTTCTAACCTTAGAAATTTGGAGGACAGACCTTTGATTCTGTGTACTTTGGAAACATACAAGGCACAAGCACAAAACAGTTAAAGTCCCTCGCTAAGATTGAGTATTATCCTTTAGTGCCAGACGGGTCCGCTTCAGGAAGGGCTCGGTAAAAGCAGCTTGTGTTGCTGGGAGTTTGCAGCTTCTTCATGTGTTTGTCACTTTGTCTCGGATTGTGTTCTGCTGATGAATGGAGCTTCAGCTAGATGTAGAAGTGCCCTTATCCTGTACCTCACGCTCGCATTCACCTCCCGTCTGACAAACACCTCTGTGCTCCACGCTTGTTTCGTCCATCGTCGTCCCTGCACACGTTCAACCAGGATACACATAAACACTGGAGTTCACTCAAAGCCGAAGTACCTTTTTGTAAATTCTCTGCTTGCTCTAGGACTGCTGTTACACAGCGGACTGTTAGACACACGTTTCAAAAACATTTCTGAAGTGAGGCTTTTGTTCTGCCTGGGTACAACAGAGCCCCTCTGACTAACTCAGTCTGTTTAGCTCTTCAGTATTGCTGTAGCATCGTTCTGTAGTGGGTGAAACCACGAGCTGCCCCTCGACTCAAGACTTGTATTAATTTCTAATGTTGCTTTCAAGTGATTTCCTTGTATGCCTGTTATATATAAATATATATATAGACCTCGTCATGGGTTTTTGCTTGCAATGCAATTTGCTTTTTTTTATATTATTACTAACAGTACAGTATTTTTCTATGTCTGAGCAAAGATCTTAAACACGCCACTGTCATTTTGTAAATCTGCACCTCTGCTTTCTTTAACTCGTAGTGCCCTTATGCAAACACCCAGCCATTGCTATTCTGCTGTAGGTGATTCATTTTCTTTTGGTTGCCCCACAGCGATGGGTTACCGGATTGTGCGGATCCTATTAAGGACACATATAGGGGGGGGGGGGGGTAAAAGTGGTAGACATAAGATTGGACTGCTTATTTTTCGCTTGTTTTATTTTATTTTTAGGTTGTACTGTACAAGGACTCCCGAAGCACTGCTAGTGCTAAAGAGGAGGTGTAGAATCTGCGTTAAACACGAGTAACAAAATGACCAATATGCAAGAGGAATGACGGAACACACTACTGCTGTACAGGGGGGGGGTATTTCTGTTCCATGTAATCACTGAGATGGCAAAACTAGCATCGTTGGTTTTGTATTTTGCTTTCAAGCTTGATAATATCCTAAATGTCACTCTGGTCAGTTTTTGTCTTTTTTTTCTTTCATTGGACAGTTGTAATATTTGCAAGTTTTGGTCTGTGTATTCAAAATAACTCTTTATGTAGTGCAGGAAAACACGTCTTAAATTCATTTGTAATTTATTGGATTACTTTCTATGAAGTTCTATAGAGGAAATTGAGGTTTAATTATTTTTATTAAACATATTCTTCTGACTATCAATTAAGTGTGCCTGTTGCTTTGTCTGGGGGCCTTTTTCAAGACATCAGGAACTCTCCTCACATGTGTTCATTTATTACTGTTGATCTCATTTATTCACTTCTGCACTCAGACTCGGTGGGAGAGGACGGGAAAGTATGTTATACTAAACTTATAATAAAAGCACTTCTTAAAGCTTTTAAATCCATAAAATTCCCCAGTGATGGAAAATAATCTGTACTTGCTTAAATTTAAGGTAACTAAAAAACCTTACTTTGTATGTTCCGTTGTTCTTTTTTGAGTAAAAGATAGCTTTTTGCACAACTTGATTTACAACTCAGGAAAAAGTTGCTGACACAACATCAATTTTCAGAGTGGGAATAGCAAAAAAAGGTCAAGTGTTATCCTAGTTCTAACTTTATCTGTTGTAATACCGCATTCAGTTGAGAAGTAATGCAAAAATCACAATACACCTAATCCAAAATATATCTAGAAATATGTAATTGGTTGCACATTTTATAAAGTTTAATCATTCATCATACTGGTGGTGTGATAAGAAAGATCCATCAAACCTTTCCAAGATTCTTTTCACAAACAAAACAAGCCTAAAATGTGTTTTGCCCGGACATGCGTGCATGAACAGATCCCATCTTTATTACAGTAAAGAGTTGACATGTTTTCCTCATGGATTTTCCTGTGTTCGTCTTCCTCTTGGTGGCGCTCCTGTTGTTCCTACAGCTGTTCACACTTCAGAGCAACACCAGAGACATGTCGGGGCTTGTACTGTGAACTTCCTCACTGTGCAGCCGGACACACACTTAAAACACACACAAAGCTCAGAGCACAGGACCCAACCTGGATTTTAAACCATAAAACCCAGAGTGACCGACACTGGTAAGTGACTTTGATCCTCGTTGTATTGTACTTCAGTCAAAAGTTCAAATTAAATGACGTGTTGCATGAAAAGTCAGCTGATAACATTCACCCTCTACTTTTGCATGAGTAATAACTAAATGCTGCAGCACCGACTGACTAGAGGTTAATGATTGACTCTTTTAAAAGGCTCTAATGTAGCCTGTTGTATTAATAATACAAAATGTGTTCAACTACGGCAACATTTAAATGTCTAGCACGTGTTGGAAAGTGAAACTCAGGCCTGTTTATGATGAAACTTCTGTCAGTGAACAAAACAGGAAATAGGTGTAACCCACTTGCTTATGCTTTTCTCGCTGTAAGTGTTTTTCTAAAACAGAGAACACAATCCTAGTGTCAGCTGTATTTTATGGACACTTTATTTCCATGTAATGCATAGACAAGCTTCACATAGTACATCACACAAAAGAAAGTTTGAGGAAGATGATGTATGACAAGGAGAGGTTGGATCAGTCCAGTTTTCTGTAGGCAACATGTGTTTCCTTTGACACTTGGCACTGGCAGTCTATTTGTAATGGAAAATTAACTAATCTATTGACAAAGGAGGAAAAACAATAATGTGTAAAGAACCGAGGCATTTTCATTTGGAGGCTCTCAAGAATGCTACAGTCTGTGATTCAAACAAGTAGCTGCTTAAACTTCTGTAGAAATAAGTCAGAACATGTGTTATTTGACAGGTTTAAAGGGATAACGTGACAGAATTGCATGTGGTTTACTCTCCTGATTTGAGAAATTGCAGTTATTGTTGCTTCTGATTTTAAAGTTAATTAGGTGAAAGCTTTGTTAGTCCATTGACCTGCAGCTCTGTGAAAACGTTAATGCTCATTCAGAGAAAGTGTGTGAGGCCTCAAGACTAATCTGTTGGAAACACGTGAAACTTTGGTGAAGAAGCATCTTTTTAAAACAAGTCTGTAGACACTGAGGATTATTGTGGTGTCTCACAAAGCCTGACATTAGTGCAACAGTAAAACAATGTCACCTTACTTGACCCTAAATGATAAAACACAAAAATCATTTGAATATTCAGATGTTGTGGTTTTTTCTTTCTCAAATGAGGATACTTGATATCACATTCACATTTTGTTCATAACGTGTCTAATGTTTTGGCCATGTCTACATACCTATATAACACAGGCTACATCGTTCTTACATAATAAACTTAAGTAAAAAAACATCTTATATTGTAATTTATTTTCTCTTTTTTTTTATTTGCGTCGCATTTCATATTGACGCAATCCAAATGACGAGAAATGATCAGATTACATTACTTGATATGTTTTGAAACTCAGATTAGTAGACTTGTTAAAAAATAAAAGTCATCATAGCTCAGTATTGTGCAATCTCTCCCTGCTTCCACATTCTCTCTCTCTCTCACACAGTGTAACGAGACACCCGGTGTAAAATGATAGTTTAAGATCATGTTTAGTCGTCTCTACATTGCTGCTTCAGACTGCGTTCCTCTGATGAGTGTCTACAGCAGGGGTGTCCAAACTACAGCCCAGGGGCCAAATGTGGCCCGAAGCTAATTCTTAATGGAATATGGCGGCCACCTGAAACGTGTGCTTGTCTTATATTGTAGTTCTTAAATATATATGTACAAATCCCACTTTTCAAATATATTCTGTCAATTAATAACCAATCATTTATTGAAATGACACGCTTGAAATATACCCTTTTTATTGCCCCTTATTAAAAGCAATTTGACTCTTCTGTTTTAAGGGATGAGCTGCCAACAAAATAAACAAAACCCCATCGAAAACTCTGATGTGAGCCTCTTGAAAATGTGGCGCAACATGAGGTCCTACGCACTGTCTTTTGCCCTGTATGAATGTACAGGGCAGATGTTGTTCGTTCCCCAATAGTTTTGTACATATAAAGACGGCGCTGCACACATGTGTCTGTGGGAGGTCTGTGGGATCCTGGATGATAAACGGCACACGTGGGAGTGAAACAGAGCCTCCATTGAGACAGACAGAGGAGGGAACACACTCAACGTGGAATGTAGGAGAAGGCCTTTTCTTATTAAACTCAAAGTAAAAGTACCAACAGGCCAGGCTGCAACCATGTAGGATCGACCCGGAAATGGGGGGGGGGGGGGGGGGATCAGTTTTCACATAACTGAGCCTATGACAAAAGCTGACTGAGAACATAACAATCAGTTCAGCGTACAATGATCTTAAGCTGTCTGACAGACACACGACTTCTGTCTGAAATGCTCCTGTTACACTCTCAACACGCCATAATCACACTTTATAATACATTTTAATTTCACATTAAGGTACCTTGTAAGGACGGAGCAGTACTCCATGTTTGGGAAGCTTTCCCATCTGAGATGCAGTAACATGTGACTCATCACATCTGTTGATAAGAGTAATAACACTCTCATTGCTGTATGATAAATATAACGCAGGGCAGTGGATAAGCTAAGCATGCACACTGGAAGCAGGAAGAAACAGCTCTGGTCAAAGTTTAAAAAAAACACCCACCGACACACTTCTGACATTTTTTAAATATTATTTGTACACGTGTTAACATTGTAAAAGTTGTTCACAGGGAGTCCCGTCATATACTGTAACTATTTATTGGCTGGGCCACTGACTTAGTAAAGGAGGGAACAACCATTTCAAGGTTTGTTCGTTTGTGTTTGTGTCCCATCTGTGAAATTAAGAGTTGCTTGAAGGCAGAGCTTTAGAAAGAGCTACTTCACCGATGTTTCTTTGTGTTTTTGGTGTGTTATGGTAAACCTGTTTTCTTTTTGTCTAGCTTCTTTTAAAAGTAGAATCAGACTGAAAAAGCTAGGAAACTAAGAAAATATGACACATGGAAGAAAGAGCCTTATAGGGCAAGTCAAGGGAATTAAATTCGTTTTTTTATTTTGCATATTGAGAATTTAGGTTTGATTTATTCTCAAAAGTGTCATGGTAATTCTCCTCAGTTTGTCTTTTTTTCTCAACATTGAAGTCTTCCTCTTCTCATTATTTCCCCTTATTCTATGAAAGCTTGATTTGATTTATATTATCAAAGCTCTTGGTTTAAAATGCCTCTAATGTTTTTTTATAAAGCACTTTAAATTGCCTATAATAAACTTGGCTTCTCTAATGCCTACATGGCCCTAATTATTTTCCGTTTAATATTATTACAAATTATATTTATTTAGTGGTTGACGAACTTGAGGAGCTCAACCAGATTGTACTTGGTTGATAGTTTGTATGTTTCCTAATCTGAGTGTTTTTAATGTCCTTGTTTAGGTTCCTGCTCTGACTCATCCTGTGTGAGTAAAGGTCACCATGGACAACGGTCCCCATGGTAACCAGGGGCGATCGATGTTTGGCCCGAGTGACCGACTGACCGCTGAGTTCAGGTTAGACTTTTAGTTTTTTATAAAAGCCCTGAATAACAACGTAACCTGCGGTTAGTATACACAGAGAGACATTTTAACAAAACTATGACTGATATTTACAATAAACCAGAGAACTCAAAAGATTCAAGACTCAAAGGTGTTATTGTCATACAGCAGCAACAGTGTAGTTATGGTAATTCAAATGTTAAGTCCCAGTTCTCTGGCATTTATTCTGAGGATAACAACAACACAAAGTCCTTTTAACATCCCGTTGCATGTGACATACTGACAGGTGTGATTCAGATGGGGGGATTGGGCACATAAGGGGGGGGGAACACATCTAGAGTATGTGTGTGTGTGTGGGTGTTTGTGTGTGTGTTTTATCTGATCCGGATGGTTACTAATTCCTTTTCTTTATGGCGGTCATTTTTGACCGGGAACACCATGGGTGTTACAAAGTTGACTAAATCATCCAAAATGCAATGAAAGTGGTGATCAGCAATTGTATATGTTCAAATGTCTACTGTGAAGGATATCATAAAGCCTTAATGCAATCGAATGTAAAACAAAAAAGTTACGATTGATGAAAGTAGTAAATCGGTCAGATTTGACCCGAAGACAACAGGAGGGTTGGAACATTTATTGACATGTGCACGAAATGATAGAAATGTGAATAGTCTTTGGCATTAAGACAACAAATGGATATAATATATCTTAAGGGGGAGGTGCAGGTATTGTGGGACGTGCTATCATGTAATGGTTTATAAGCCTGCAGGTTTGCATTGAGACAAAGGACTGTTTAACTATGTTCAAACAGTATGTTTAGTTAATTACACTCTTTACATTATTTGCAATTGCTGTAAGGGGCTTTTAAATACTTTCTGTGGCCTTTTATTTATTTTTTAGATGTTTTCCAACAAAACACTCTCTTTATTTAACCACTCTCAGATAATGAAATGTAAGTGTAATGAACCGTGCCTCTCTAACTGCTCTGGTTCAGGGCCTGCTGCAGAGATCCAACCGACGCGATTGAAACCAGACTGAGATCCATGCTGCAAACATTTCTGCAACACCACAGGGACAACTCAGGAGACGAGAACAACCGTAATCTCACATATTAAAGGATCCTAAAATAATAAGATAGTATGCTGAATGTTAGGAACACATGTATAATGAAAGCTCTCATCCTAATGTAAAGAAACGTTTTTACCTTATGGTCAATATTTTCTGAAGGAAAAATGATTATGGCTTTGACGATACTACTGGTTTTTAGGCCAGAATTGTATGTTGGGAAATGGCAACGATGCACAGTTAAGACAAAGCCGACCACATTTAATATTGACGGTTTCTATCAGAAGCAACAATGTCTGTTTTGGCACAGCACTGTCTGCTCATCTAGTATTTTAAACAGTTGTGAAAGGTAAATATAAAGTATATATATATATTACCTAAGTGTATTCACCTTATGCTATATGGATTTCTACTCCACTACATTTTAGAAGCCATCCTTGTACATTTTACACTACATATTTGTAAGCTGTAGTTATGTGTTACTTTTTAGATGAATAATACAAGTTAATGAAGTCACTATTGTTGCCAATTGTCTGATATGATCTGGTGGTGTTGTTCACAGATCTAGCAACAAAGTCCTGCGGTGCGGCAGCGATATGGTATTACAGGATCCTGGAGAACATCCTCAGTCAGGAGAAGGAGAGGCTGGGCGTCAAGGACGGCTCGGTGAGTGCAGCGCCTTCATGTGGCCACAAGAGGAACTGCATGCAAAGAGTTATACTACATGGCATTTAAAGGTCACCTATTATGCAAAATCCACTTGTTCATGTCTCTTCTACATCAACATGTGTCCCCTCTGTGTAAAGAGATTCTGAAAGTTTCAGGAAAAAGGATTCGCTCACTTTTTGTCCTGATCCATTTATAAAAAAACCTGTCTGAAAATGAGCTGATCAGATTTTGGCCACTTTCTGATGTCATAACAATTGTTTGGCTTGTGTAACCATTAGCCAATTACCAACCAAGGTTACCCCCCCCCCCCCCCACACCTTATCACCTGAATCTCCTCCTAGAGCACCATTGTGTTATTTGTAACCAAATATCTCTCAGAGGGGCGTGGGGAGGGGCTCCTTATTTTCATCTAAAGTAACAGACAGAGAATCAGCACTTTTGAAACAGAGCTGAAACAGAGGGGATTATGGGATGCTGCAATGATCTGTTTGGTGTTTGGAGCCAATCAGAGACATGTTCTGTATATATCTGAGACCCATGGGCGTCGCAGCCATTATATGAGGGTGGGACAAGTCCCCCCCACTTTTTCAAATGATTAGTTTAGACCCCCCCACTTTTACTATGCGGAAAGTCCGTGAATCGGTCTATCCACTCGCCGCACTTTGTAGAGCGCTGTGTCAGTGCTTCACTATCAAATGAAATCCATTCCACTTGCTTATTGAGAGAATGCCCAAATCAATGAAACTCCGTACCATGTTTTCACTGCTACTTTGTACCAAGGCAGATTCTCACATAGCGCGCGCATGTTCAAGGAGTGTTGTCATAGTTGGACAGCTCAGATCTGTTGTATGAAGCGATGCTGGTAGCGGAGGTAAGGCACACACACCAAATGTTCAAGAAATGGTTAATACAGCGAAAATCAAAGCTGACGATCTCTTGGTTTGATATGTTTTCTCCCCCAGACAACATGGACATAAGAAAAAAAATGTCAAAGAAGAGGAAAGTAAGTCATCAGCTGGTAGCAGTTAATCAGTTAACAGTGATGGCGGCGTCTCACTTCTGGAGAGGAGTTTCGTCTTTATGTCATGATAGAGAAATACAAATACTGAATAGTTTAGATGAGAAAAGGCATCGAAATGCCAGGTTACTAGTATTTATCATGTAAACAGGGAACATGAATAACCCGATCTCTCTGTGCTCATGTAAACGCCATATCCCCAATATGATCATAACCGGGATAATACTCATAAACGGCTTACTGATGTCCATGTAGAGACGCAGTCAGTGTGTTTTACTGGAGCCTCAGTTCGATAAGAGATTCTTTTCTGAGTTCTTTACCATTTTGAGAGAGAGTACCTAAGTTAATGTGCATTATGTTTTAATTATACTTCTTATCATTCAGAAGCTTTTTGTGTGTGTATGTTTTACTGAGTGCTTATAGGCTATTTCCATCCCAGTATTCAGTTAACTATTTATTTTCTGTGCACATTACATAGACTAGCTAATATTCTACCTACTGCTTGGGACTTTGAGTCTTCAAAATGTCCAATGTCACAGACTGGGACTTACTTTAGAGTCAGTTGTATTTACATTCAGTATGACTTGTTATGATTCAATGTGAAAGAGTATACTGCTCAATAAATAATTATCACTTCACCACCTCTCTTGACATCTAGGCACTTGAGTCAGAGGCAGAATACAGGGACAGTGGAGAGAGGTCCATTGCTGAGGTGAGTGATGAAAGGGAAATGACAGTTGAGAGTAAATTGTGATGTGGACTCTCATCCCAGGATTTTAAGGAAATCAGTGGGGATATTGAACAGGAAACATTTCAGTCAAGGGGCATCATATGACCAATATAGACAGAAGAGCAACATTTATTTGAACATTTAAGTCAATGATACCATTCCTAGGTGAACTTAACATCCGTATGGAGTCAGATCAGTCTCAATATTAATAAATGCTCACAGAAGGATTCACAAATGTATTTTGCGATTTATATATAAATGACTCTCCACAACAATATCTCTCAATGCACTCACAAATATTTATTGTTGTATATAAATGTACAAAAAATGGGCATTTAAACTGCTTTTTATTAATTCAAAGACAGCTCTGAATTAATAATCAAATATGTTTCCTTTCTTTACTACTGGATGAAATTACAAAATGTACCCATCATTTTCCTCATGCTAGTATAGCCACATAAAAGTATCAAACCACCTGTTAAAATGCACCAGAATACAGGAAATCTATATTTTTTTTCGCCCCCGTTAAAAATGTCCCCCCCACATTCAGGATGCTTCCTACGCCCATGCTGAGACCTATAATATATTGATGAAAAACAGTATCATAGGGGACCTTTAATATCCTAATGTGCTTGTTGGTGTTAAAGTGACTCACGTGTGATGTGTGTGTCTCAGGTCCTCCTGGAGCTGGATCTGTTTCAGCGCTGCCTGGTGGCCTGTTGTCTGGAGATTACCATATTCTCAAACAGTCTACCATATGAGTTCCCTCTGCTCCTTCAGGTCCTCACACTGGCTCCTTACCACTTCATCAAGGTGTGTTTCCAAGCTTCATGCTGCTCACAGTGGGTGTTTTCCTGACTATGCGTATGTTTGCACATTCATTGATATGCAATTAAAAATGCATCTAATTTAATAACTTCAAGATAAATAAGAAGTGAAGGACTAAGTAAATGTGTTATGATTTGCATTGGCTTGCATGGAGGTCAATTGTATTTCATAGACAAGCTCTACAGCAGAAAATATGTTTACATTTCTGCCTCATGGGAACTCGAGTTCTCTAAGAGTTTCAGTCACCAAGATTTTTATATTATTTTCTCATCTGGTTTAAGTTTGAACCAAAGCAACACCACCTCTTAACTTTGAGAATACCTTCACCCCCCATGTATGAGCCCTTCATGTTTATTGTTTTTAGATATATCGTGCAGTATTTTATTGAACACTGGGTGGCAGTCATTAGACGCTCAGAGAATTATATATGGGGGCATAGATGAAAGAAAATGGAGAGTTGGTATTGAATGGTACAAATACTTCAATAAACCACAAACTAAAAATTGCATATAACGACGAGAACATTTTATATATTGTGCCTGCGTGAGATCACTACCACCTACCTGTGTTCTAAGGCAAGGCAAGTTTATTTATAAAGCACCTTTCAACACAAGGCAATTCAAAGTGCTTTACAAAAATGACATATTATAAAATGGCATTTAAAAACACTCATTTAAAAGCAAAGATATAAAATGGCAGAAATAATTTTCTATGACCTCACTTTCTTTCTACTTTTTTTTTTTGTACTTATCATTTAGTTATTTCAAGTGTTTCATGCTATACGAACTCCCCTTTGGAAAATTCTAATCTGACCCCATGGTACCTTTTAGTTTTCGCCGAAACTATTCCTCTTTTTAAAATGCACATAGTTAAGTTTACCTTGTCTTTCTAGGACTTTTTTTGTCTAACTCCAACTGGAAAAGAGAACATTGTAATACGAGAAAATCGCCTTTAAAACACATTTTGTTTTTCCTGTGTTCTGACAGGTGATCGAGCTGGTTCTGCGGGCTGAGAGGTGTCTGCCCCGCGATGTGGTCACACACCTCGCCCAATCAGAAGAGAGAGTTCTGGAGAGTTTGGCCTGGACCACAGACTCCCCGCTGCTGGAAGCCATCAGAGCCAATGAGGGCCATCTGCCCACCTGCCAACAGGTTGGCAACAACACACACAAACTCTCTACCTGGCACCAGGAGTTTGTCAGGATTTAATACTCGGGGTTCTTCCAAGGTGATGCTGGTGATATGATTATGAATTATGTTTCTATCCACTCAACAGGTGATGCCTCCTGCAAGAATTGAAGGTCAAAACCAGACAGACTTTCAACCTGACAGAAACCCACCTGGAGACATGTCAGTGGAGTTCAGTTTTGGAGCTGAAGCTTCTTCCAGGCCGCCGAGAAGTAACTCCCTCCACCTGTTCACTCGAAAGGTAAGTAAACATCCCACAACACGACATTGTCCTGGAGTCAACAATGGCTTTATGTCTTCTCTTTCCCTGAAAAAAACATGAACAAACGTACTTCCAAATAAAAGAAGTGCTGTTGTTTTTACATACGATATATCATGCAGCCCTGATCTGAGCTGCTTTCCTGTCTGCAGTGACGATGTACTGTGTGTTTCTGGCTCAGGTGTACATGTTGATGGGGAAGCGTCTTGAGAAGCTTTGTTCCACGCTGCATATTTCTGAGGAGCTGCGTCTGAAGATCTGGACGTGTTTTGAGCATTCTCTGGTTCACTTCACTGACCTCATGAAGGACCGACACCTGGACCAGCTGCTCATGTGTGCCATCTACATGATGGCTAAGGTGGGCTTTTACATCCTTTGGTCATTTGTGGTTGTGTTAACATGCTGCTATATATGCACTGATGTCTACGGGGTATTTTTACTGTAGGTCAGGGCTATTCAATTGGCGGCCCGCGGGCCAAATCCGGCCCCGGGGTGATATGTACTGGCCCTTTGAGTATAATGTTAAAAAGTAATTTCTTTTTTTTAAGATTTTTTTTTTTTTTTTTTTTTTTGTGCCATAGTGCCTTTATTCCAGAGAGGGTGTTACATTGAGAGATAGAGGGGTAGACAATGCCTGAAAACTTCGACGGGCTCGGGTTTCGAACCCACCTACTATACTGTAGTGACAACTCCTGTCATTGATTGCATCTCTGCGTGAATGATTAGATCATTTCACCTAAATGAAATCAAATGAAACATGTAGGCCTACTGAGTTCTGAACTTGCCATTTAGATCTATAAAGGCCTTGGGGCTATGTTGTTTGATTGAATTAAACACAATATATGCACTCCACTATGCTGTTGTAGTATTTACTGTATCTGAAGCTCTTAAATATGATTGCTCATATTTCAAGCCATCTTTTTCCCGGCCCCTTGCTTTGGATCATTTTCATCAACCGGCCCCCATTCCAAACTAATTGAATAGCCCTGCTGTAGGTTAAGAGCTACATTTTTTTTACCCTAGTTCACTGTTTCACACTCAAAATGCATCTGAATATTTGTGTTCTGCTGATGCAGTAAAAGCTGTTTTCCCTGGAAGTGATTCAGATTTGTGCCTGTACTATAAAAGCATGAGCACAAGGGATATAACCAATGACTATCTTAATGTATTGCTTTTTACAGATCACCAATGTGAAGATATCCTTCAAACACATCATTCATTGCTACGAGTCTCAACCACTTGCAAGCAGAAGTGTAAGTTTGTTTATTGTTTATTATTCATCTTTTCATCTTTACCCAAAAATAAGAAAAGTTAATATGCATAGAATTGAAACCACTGTCATCTCAGGCAGCTGCTTAAAAAATGATTATTCAAACATAAGATGTGTGACTAATGTTCAATAGTTGGGAACTCATGAAGACATTTTCTGCTGTCAGGTCTCCAAAAGTGTGCTGATTTCCAGACAAGACACAGAAACACTTCTCAACAGAAACAACAGTAAGAGACCTTTTGTAGGAAACATACATGCATTCAGAAGTAATACAATTGAGTTATTTTACGGAGATTAAATGGTAACGTTGAAAAAGGAAATGATGATACATTGTGTTGTAAAACAATATACACTACGAGTAGATTACATTATGCTTTCAATTTGCAATCATGGACACATCCTTTAAATCTGAATGAAACACTCTCTACTATTAAATCAAGAATGATGTATCTGCAGAGCTTCATTATAGCACAGATGTTGAATAACATTCATCATCTTAATAATAATAATAATAGCTTGCATTTATATAGCGCCTTTCAAGGGACCCAAGGTCGCTGTACAGTAATAGGGCAAAAACAAACATAACAAAACAAAAGTCAGACAGACAAAACAACAGATCGATTAGGGGCCGAAAGCCTTGGCAAACAGATGGGACTTGAGGGCCCTTTTGAAGGCGTCGAGTGTGGGGATGTTGCGAATCTCCGCAGGGAGAGCGTTCCAGAGGGTGGGGGCTGCCACACTGTAGGCTCTGTCCCCGAAGGTTCGCAGTTTGGTGCGGGGGGTGGTAAGCAGGCCAGAGTCTGAGGACCGCAGGTTCCGGGGTGGGGCATGTGGGTGAAGGATGTCCGATAGGTACTGGGGGGCAAGGGCATGGAGGGACTTGTAGGTGAGGAGGAGTACTTTGTAAGATATACGGGACTTGACCGGCAACCAGTGTATCTTACCACAGAAACTCACAGTATGAACTCTCCTCATATCAATGTCTGAAGACAATGTACTGTAATTCCCAAATGAAAAGTGAGCATTTATGACTGATTTACTACAGATAATGGAGACCCTGCTCACGGTTTCCCGACCCCCGACTCACCATCGTCACATTACCCCCCCGCTCAGGAGGAGAGGGTCAATCTGATCCGCTTTTACGACAACATCTACACCGGGAAGATGCACGACTGTGCCGACCAGTTTGACCCAGCCTCTGGGGTAAGTGACCATTTCATGTCTCTGAATTTGACAAAATGTTGTTAAAGGTCACCTATTATGCAAAATCCACTTGTTCATGTCTTTTCTACATCAACATGTGTCCCCTCTGTGTAAAGAGATTCTGAAAGTTTCAGGAAAAAAGATTATCTCACTTTTTGTCCTGATCCATTTATATAAAAACCTGTCGGAAAATTAGCTGATCAGAAACAGAGGGGATTATGGAATGCTGCTGCAATGATCTGTTTGGTGTTTGGAGCAAAACACTTCAGAGACATGTTCTGTATATATCTGAGACCTATAATAAAGTAATGAAATACAGTATAATAGGGGACCTTTAATACTGTATCCATTTAATCTCTTTAAATGGTATTTATATAATTTTCATAATCAGAATATTTATAATTTATCCCCAGGGGGTATTGGATTTTGTTGCTTCACTTTACAATAAACTAAATAAGATTAAATCAAAAATAAATAATAAAACATAGAGAAGTTCATAACAAATCTGCACCTTTTGGAAGAATAAATATATAATAAAATATGTTAAAATGTAATAATAAAAAAGTATAGTATTATTGTATTGAGTATTACACAGTTGATGAATTGCCGGTTGCACAGCATATAATATAATAATAGTCCATATTACACAGATCAATAATTATTGCTCTATTTTAACACACTCTGTGTCACTCTCACAGAGAGACACCCCCCCTCTGTCTCCTTACCCCATGCAGGGGAGAGGGGGGGAGAGCATCTCGTCAAAGCCAGCAGGTCTCCAGCAGCCTCCTCATCTTCAACTCAGAGACCCCTGGAGACCGAGAAGAAGGGGAGGATGAAGATGGTCCTCCAGCTCAGAGGCTTCGTGTTGCAGAGTCATTCTTGCAGAGGCGACTCAGTAGTGTAGTGAATGATCGCGAGGCTCAAAGAGACCGGGACCAACCGTCAATTTCACACCCTGACCTGCACTAAGTCTCACTCTGAGCTGGTATAACTGTGGCAGCTAGAGCAACTTCACAGATATAGACAAAACAAATTCCTTTAGGCAAAAATCTGTCAAATCAAAGTCTTGTCCGTGCTAAAATTAAGTCAAAGTCAACTTTATTGTCAATCTCAAAATATGTTTGTACACACAGAAAGATCGAAATACTGTTTCCCACAGTCCCGAGGTATAAAAAAACTCACACATTAAAATTCAAGAACACTCAATAATTTACAAAAAAACCCACAAAAACACAAAATAACCGTTTACTTCAAGTAAGCAGGATATATAAAAAAGATGATGTACATATGGCACGTGCACATAGTGGGCTTGAGCCCCTGCCCTTTTTCTTCCTCCAGAGAAAGTGCCCTTTTTTTTCCCGCATTTTTAAAATTTAAATAAATGAATATATATCTACTGCTGTTTGCGCTCAGTTTCCCTTTCCAAAAATATATTGATTGAATACAAAATAAAAATAACAGGTCGAGAAATTAGACTGTGAAGTTCCGATGCTCTCTCTACCCTCCCTCCCTCCACTTTCTCGCGCACAGCGGTGCGGACATCGGCAGTCACTTCAGACAGACAGGTAGCAGCACCTCCCACTTTACTGTCCCATGTTATGCCGGCTTTTCTTGGCTTGTTTGAAGGTGAGTGGTGATGAACAAATGACAAAGCTGCCAGTGCCTCAAGTTTACAGCTAATTAGCCAAAAGACAAAAACAAATATAGCCTAGTTAACTAAGGTAGGCTACTAGCTAATGGATAAGTTAGCTCAAGGTTTAGCTAAGGCAATTTATCATACAGGCTAATGTAGCCTACTGTACTTAAGGGGAGACACTAAAGGTAAATACAGTACAATGTGTATCTAATAACGTCATCACAATCGCCACATTGATATGCAAATTAGGCGTTAACTAGTAGCCTACACTAGAAATAAAGTAGCCTACTATCTTATCTCTTATCTTATCTTAATTAAAATGCGCTAATGTGCATGCAGTTACCAAGGCATTGCAGGTGAAAAGGATAAAACAAAAAACAAACATATCACCTCACAACTTCCCCAGATAGTTACTTACGTCAAGTCAGTATTTTCCCCTGAAATCTTATGTTTAAATGCAGATTAGCTTTAAATATATAGATGAATTCAGACAGGGTAATAAAACGAACACCATTTATATGTGTTTCTTGGAAGTTTTATACCCATTAGAGTGAAAGAAAACATGGAAGCAAAATAGACCAAAATAGACCAAAAAGTACATGAAAAAACGATCTTTTTGCCTGTAATGGCCTTAAACAGTAACTTCATCATTTTGATTGTTGGCTGCTCATTTAATAACTATTAATTTTACTATTTTGTTGTCTGCTCTTGTGCTTAGTGAATACTAAAGAAGACCATTGTCTCTGTGTTAACTGATTATTTTTGTAGAATTCTGTTGAGTATTAAACAATTGCGTGAGTGTGAGGGTATTAAAATAAATTGGTCAGTAAATCAGAGATGTGCAACTATATTTAAAGGTGGGGTAGGTAATTTTGGAAAAACCAGCTGAGTGCGCTAGAATTTGAAAATACACAGCCGGAAAAAATCTGCCACTTCCTTACAGAGCCCCTCCTCCAACACACACGAACATGACCAATGAGGGCACGAGATAAGTTTGTGCCCAGATGGAAGGCTGACAGGCAGGTAGAACATCCAGTTATTTTAGCCGGGCGGCTCAGATCATTGGTCGTGCTTTTTACAGTACTACGGCTTCCACAGATGAAATCTTTTTATGTATTTATTGTCAAAGCACTTAAGATATTCATTGCTATCGGGATGTTAAGAGCATTCCATGGAATATAACAAAAAGTGTATCTCGAGCCGGTTTCTCAAACTTACCTACCCCACCTTTTTATTTGAAAACATTTTTTTATAAATGATTATGGGAAGTGCCCTTTTTCTCACTTGAGCCCCCCCATAATGTCTGTGCAAGTCCCTGGTACATAGTACAAATGGGAGTGCACAATTGTCCATAGCAGCGTAAAAGTGTCAGCGTAAAAGTGTCTGTGTGTGTGATGATGAAAATGATGTCCTTTTGCTCTTATTGCACTATTTCGGACACTTTCTGTCCTTTAAAAATGCACTTAATCCCTCCGTTTAATGCCGAAAGTAGAAGACTGCTGTCGTCCTGCGCTGCCCCCTGGTGGAGGTTTTTGAATTAGATGAAGCGTAGTCTCCAAAGTGCTCAGGTTACTTTCCTTGGCGTCTGTATGAGAACTGTAGTTAAAACTGTGGGACTAATTTATCTTTCCCATCAAATGGGGACGGGCATGATGTAAAGCATTACTCGTGTCTATGGTAGGGTCTACAGGATTTGAAAATGTTGTGCCACCAGTGTTTTTATAAAAGTGACAGTGTTGAAAGGGGGAGACAGAGGGTTTTAGGCTGTATTCAAACTCAGGTCCTTCAAGTGTGTCTGTCCAACCCTAACCCTAGCTCCAGAATAAAGGCATACTCATAACATTGCAATGTGACATGCAATATTAGAGGAAATTATCATTTTTGGAAGCCTTATCATTAAGAAATACATTGAATTGATCATGGTGCCATTTTTTAAAGAGGATTCATACCAAAGGGATTTTCTATCATGTCAATAGAAGTATGTCGTTTGTAGGACGGGACTTTATTAAGATATTTTCACATGTTTTGTCTTTTCCAAATATTGCACTTTCTGCTTAGTCCAAATGTGAATTATTGTGCAGCCCTATGTCCTTACTGAAGACTTGATTGTAACGGGCTAGATTAAGAATTATACTCTTGTAGGTCACTTTACATTTCTTTCATGGGTTTTTTCAGTTTTATTCAACAATGATGATTTGTCGCATATATATATATTTACAGCTGTCTAACCATAACTGTCAGACATTCTTTTCTGCTTAATCTGTTATCTTTTCAAGCATTTTTAAAAGAAGTCGGTCTAAATAAAATGTATTTACCAATAAACAATGCATTTTACAATATGTTTTGTATGTTTCTTTATCACAGTTTTATTTATTCATGTATTCTTAAATTGTCATAGACATATCAAGCACAGACTGGATTCTGTTAAATGTCCACTTTAATCTTTATTCTCTGGTTTATATACTCAGTGTCATGGCCTCACTAGGAAAGCTAATGAGAAGCAAAGAACCTGTCTTTACTATCTAATGAGCAAGGGACTCTCTCACATCACTTACTTATATAGTATAATCTGCAAATTAAATATCATTTTCAGCTTTATTTCTCCCATTCCACCTTGATACAAAGCTGTGTGTTTACCAAACTAATGATGTACAGTGTGTGTATCCAGAGACCCATTAGACCTGAAAATAAGAATCTGCAGAATTAATAAATTCCTCAGACTGATTTAAAGCAGAAACTCCCAGCACATCCATTGTTGGTAACCGTGGCCGCAGTGTGATCGACACACAAACCCTTTCAGTGTTTATCTGTAACCATGCTTCGGCACGCTGCTGAGTTAATTCTTAACCAATGTTGCCTGGGAGGTAATAACAAAAAGGGCGGTATGGACAAAGGCTCTCTGAATAACAGTCAAACTCAACAGGAAGTCTTGAGGTTGCCATAGAGAACAAAGGCACCTTAGCCCACAACACTCACACAGGTCTTAAGGTTTCGACCGTTTCTTCAACACTACATGACTACTCAGCGCACTGTAGTCGTTTTTTCTTGCCAAACCATGGGTTGCAACACGAGCCGGGGGGGCACTACAGTGGTGGACCCTTCTGAAAAGCCAGAGGAGAGGCCAAAGACTTCCACTTCCACCAAAGAAGAAGCCACAACGGAAACAAATGGGAATACAGACGAGGACAAGGATGAAGAAATGGACGATGCAAGCTGATTGCTATCTTTACAACTCATCCTTAACTCTACTCAAAGTAAGAAATACAAAGGTTGGCTCCTTCCTTTTTATAGAATTCACATTAAAATGTCTCCTCATTTTACTTATCAGCCGACTTTGACCTTTCATTGTTTGCAATTCTTTCAAAGGAACGAGATTACGGTACCGTGCCATAAAGAGAGCAATTTATGACCATCGCATTGGGGTCACTTTGATACAATCACCTATGTAACTTGACCGCCATGTCTCTGAGGCTATCTGACATGACAAATGGGCTGTGTGGTGACTGAGATGGGCTGTGTGTGTGTGTGTCGCTGTGTGTACAGATTGTCCTGTCCGGGGTGAAGGAGGGCCTGTCAGCAGGAGGAGGAGGCGACGCTGCACTACTGTCCATCAACCTGTGTGTCAACTGGGCCAGCAACACACACTAAAACACACACCAGAAGAATTCTAGCTATGTTTATACTCGAGAAAATGTTTTTGTGTTGAATACACCGATTCCAATACTGTGTTCTGTACCTGTGTTGCCTTTATATTCTTTTCAAGCCTCTGTTTAGATCTTTTTACGGCCCTCTAGGGTTTTTTCTTTCCTTTGTTTGTTTCCACAGCCGTTATATATGTTCATCCTCTGATGCGCTCACACACCTCTGGTCAGAGCTGATAGTTACAACACACTCTTTCAAACGCTTCCAATTGTGCTGCAGGCTAAAACAGCAACCCTTTAAGATAGTCAGCTTATGCTTCAGATGTGGGTACCTTGCAGCTCAGACACAGAGTCACAGATAGTGAGTGCTTTACACAGAAAAATAGGAAATGCTGCCAAGAGTTGGGTTTTAAAAAAAATGGTACAAGTATTTTATGGTTTTTGCCACCAGAGGGCATGGGCGAGCACTGCTGCAGTTCTCTGTGCCGCCACCAGGGAGCAGAAGTGGTCTTTACACGCCGCTGTGAGACATCTGAGGCCGGCTCCATTTGCTGAAGACATTTAATCTGAAATATACGTTGTAAATTTATTACCAGCCAGTGAATGGAGCTGGAATGGAATAGCCATTTCACAAAGCCATATCAAAAATACCCATCTCAGAGGCAGAGGGAAATTACATGAAAATATTACCATTATACAAATGGAAAGTGTGATTGAATAATGTGCTGGAGAAGATAAATGAAAAGCACTTTGTTGGAAAAACGTGGCACTAAATAGGTTTTTAATTTCAGTCGTGGGATAAAAGAAGCACATTTTTAG